CGTACACAACAAGCTGAACGCTTTTACTCCCGACCTGAAGCTGTTACCTTGAAGTTGTGGTCGGGCGGCTTGAGTGCTACAATGATCCCGCGGTCTACACTGACTGGAACTTCGTTCCACAAGGTGCAACCACGCCAGGGAAGCCAAATGGGAGCAGCGGGAACCTGAACTACGAGTAATCACGCTACGAGGCTGTCTGGGGTAAAGTCGTACTGTCCTCTGCGACATTTGTGTGAAGGCAGTAAGGTGTTTCCCCCAGGCTACCAGCATGTCTTTGATTTATGGAAGCAGCGATGCTGCCTTCCCCCGAGGTAGGACGGGTTAGAAGAGGTCGGCCCCAAGAAACCGCACAATCCGAGCGCCCAAAGGTTGGCCGTGACCGCCGGCGGACTATTTAATACTATCGAAATACTTTTGAAACCAAAAAGTCCGGTGCTGCTCAAAAGGCACCTGCTGTGCGCAACCGCCTCAGGAATGAGACAGTAATGTCTTATTCCCTGCGCCCTCAGGTTAGGCCAACCAGCCGCAACCGAGTAGGTTAGACTGTTAAGTTATCGGCTCCGGGCAGGGTCCCCAAAGAAAGCCTCACTGTCCGCTGCCTTGTGGGTCAGGATTTTGAGTCGAAAGCTCAAGTTGGGGTACCTCAAACAAACCCCCTTCTTTCGCGTGGGCAACCGAAACATGCATACAAAATCCGAGCGTGGTTATGAATCTCAGAGCGCCAAGGATGAACTCAGTTCTTTCACATTTCTCCCTCAGTGCGTGGGATATATGGCTCGTGACATTTGTGGCGTGGGAGTTGCACTCAGCTCCTGAGCTGAACGTGCTTTGCTCAACGCTTGTCGGCATAAAAAGAGGTGACTTTTTGTGGTGTCGGCTTATGCCCCAACGGGCTGCAGTTCTGATGCTGAGATGGATATCGAGAGCTATCCGGGCTCACTCGTCAATTAAAATGCGCCGACATTTTGATCCTTGCAGGGGATCTGAATGTTAAAGTAGATCGTCTGAATTCATTGGATTCACGTTTGGGCGGTCGATTCGGAGTCGATGTTCGCCTCACAGACAACGGAGATCGACTCCTCCAGTGGTGATTTGATCATGAACTGTTTCTGGCAAGTACGAACTTTCAACATAAATGTTCGCACCGCGTAACCTGGCGGCCACCAACTGCTAATCTACCGTGAACCTATTCGGACCACGTGCCCATCAGCCACCGGTGGAGAGCCACAAATCAAGACTTCCGTTCCTGGTGGGGCACACCGCTTGATTCCGACCACGTCATGGTACATGCACGCCGGAGATTTCGTTTCCCTTCAGGCCCTCTCAAGTCAGCAAGAAGCATGCCAATCCACTGTTTTCAAAGAACTACCATAGCTCAACAGTATCGATCCGAGCTAGCCCAACAACTCTCCACAGTAAACCAATACTGTGATGACTGTAAGTATGTGGATGAAGCGTGGCAAAATGTGAAGTGAACTATGTTAGCGGCCTTCACTGCTGTCTGTCCGACTTATCTGATTCAACCACAAGACCACTGGATGTCATCGAGATCGCTATCCATGATTGATGCCAGGAAAGCCATACCAGCAGTCAACGAGTACGATGGTGCACACAAGTCCCTCAAACGCTAAATAGTGAAGAGTCTAAGGAATGACCAAGAGTTCTGGTGGACATCGAAAGCTCGGGAGATAGAGAAGGCTTTTGCTACGGGAAACAGCCGTGCCCTATATCAACTGATACGATCGACGGGTCATAGGAAAACAACGAACAGCGAACTCGCAAAAACGCTGACTGGAATAATGGACCGAACACTTCGAAGAGCAGTTCAGCTTGCCCCCTGCAACACAGCCTGTGAAGATAATGCATACGGGCGAATGGAATGTGAACGTTGATTCCCCGTCGGAAGAAGAAATATCCTTACTGAAACGCGAGAAGGCACTAGGACCGGACGGTCTGTATCCAGTCTTCTTCAAAGTAGCCGGAAAATCAATCCCTACCCATCTGGCAAAGGTTATTGGTATTATATGGGACGAAGGGAAGGTGCATGCAGAAGAGGGCATGTCGGCAGTCATCCCTGTCTTCAAAAGGGGTACGCGGACTCTGTGTGAAAACCACCGTGGCAACAGCCTTTTAGCCGTGGCATCGAAGGCGCTCTCTGGACTTATCCTTCGAAGGTTGACTGAACACAGGGAGAGACAGATCCGTGAAAACCAAGCTGGATTCCGTCCTACAAGAGGTTGCGTCAGCCATATCCTTACCCTCCGACAGATTCTGCAACAGCGACACCGCTTCCAGCAGCCAACAGTGGTTGTATTTCTTGATCTGAAAATTTTCTTTGAATGTGCACCGTCAGGCACTATGGCAGCGTCTGTGGAGCAAAGTTGTCCCCCATAAATTCTTGACGCTCCTTAAGGCACTGCACGTCAACTCCCGCAGCTGTTTGAAGGTCTACGGGAAACTCTCCTGAGTTCACCGCATCCAGTGGTGTCCGACAGGGCTGTCCTTTTTCACCTTTCCTCTTCAACTGCGTCATTGATACGATCATGGAAGACTCACTACCAGCCTCTAATGCCTGTGGGGTCGAAGTGCTCCCTGGGCCTCCGCTCACAGATGTCGAGTACGCAGACGACATAGCTCTTCTGGGACCTGACCCCGTGGTAATGCAAACAATATTAAATAATCTAAATAATTCTGCCTCGCGGTTCGGCATGCGCTTCACACCTGCAAAGTGAAAAGTGCTACTGCAAGACTGGGTAGGCTGAAGCCCTAGACTCATGCTTGCGGATGAACCGATTGAGGTAGTAGACAAATTTGTCTCCCTGGGGAGCTGCATTAGTCCCGGTGGTCTCGCGAAAGACGATATTTCCATCCGGATTGGGAAGGCCAGAGCGGCTTTTGTGAACCTACGTCCGCTGTGGCCCACGTGTGACACCAGCTTCTCTGTCAAGGGTCGAGTTTGCGATGCTGCGATGCGCTCCTTATTACTATATGGATCAGAAACCTGGCCGCTGCGAGCCGAGGACGTCAAAAGTCTTTCAGTGTTTGACCGTCGATGTATTTGGAGCATTGCCCGAATCTGGTGGGAACACTGGATCAGCAATGCTGAAACACGTCAGATGGTATTCGGAAGAAATAACTCACTCTCAATAGATGAACTGATCACACTGCATAGATTGCGGTGGCTTGGCTACGTCCCGCGTATGCCAGTCGACCGACTTCCTCGAAGGGCTCTTTTCGCACAACCATGTGAATGGTGGAAACGAGTCAAAGGCAGTTAAACAATGACTTGGCAGCGACGTATAAAAGCCATTACCAGCAAACTCAGCTGTGCTGGTCAATGCCGTCTGCCTTGATGGGGACCCCGAGATGGGTCACATCAATGTTTGTCGGACATGGACCAGTCGTACCCTCAATGGCCCTCATGCATCCAAGCTATTGTCTTCACTGCATTGCCCCCTTCCCAACACCCCACTTAACAGTCCACCTACAGTGCTGTATTTACGCACTGATTTATCAGCCCCCGCCTCCAATGCGCAGCTACCTACCCCACCTCGAATCATCGGTGAACGGAACTGTGGCAGTTACAACCACTTTACAACAAGTACGTGGTCTTCACAGCTGACAGTGATGATGGTGATGATAAAAAAAATAACTAACTTCAGATTAGCCGACGGTTAGTCCTGACGATCAGCGCATTATTCGTTTCGATCGAAATACGTTTGAAATCAGAGTCTGTGGGTCTTCAGAGGGCACTTTCTGTTCGCACCAGCATCACCAGTCAGACAGATGCGTCGTACTTGTGTCCTCGAGCTAGACAAGCCTCCCACAACCAAGTGAGTCGGGCCGTGGAGTCCCATTCTTCGATCAGCGCGCTGGAACAAAATCCTACACTCTTACTCTGCCCCGTGGATCGGACGTTTGAGTCAAGGGCTCAACTTGGGGTATTTCAAACAAACCTTGACTGGTCTGGACGAGTGGCTAGTAACATTATCCAAGCAGATTAGGGCGGCGGATAGTCTCATTTACCAGCTGCAACTCTGGTTACCACTGATGCTAATACAACGGCATCTCTTTGTGACGGTTAGTCCTGACGATCAGCGCATTATTCGTTTCGATCGAAATACGTTTGAAATCAGAGTCTGTGGGTCTTCAGAGGGCACTTTCTGTTCGCACCAGCATCACCAGTCAGACAGATGCGTCGTACTTGTGTCCTCGAGCTAGACAAGCCTCCCACAACCAAGTGAGTCGGGCCGTGGAGTCCCATTCTTCGATCAGCGCGCTGGAACAAAATCCTACACTCTTACTCTGCCCCGTGGATCGGACGTTTGAGTCAAGGGCTCAACTTGGGGTATTTCAAACAAACCTTGACTGGTCTGGACGAGTGGCTAGTAACATTATCCAAGCAGATTAGGGCGGCGGATAGTCTCATTTACCAGCTGCAACTCTGGTTACCACTGATGCTAATACAACGGCATCTCTTTGTGTCTCTACGAATCCAGCATCGAGTCCTCATCCGCTACCCAGTAAAATAAATTCTGAATACGCATACTACCACCACGGAATTGGTTTAACGCACCGAGGTTTAATGCTGTTATTCCTTGTCAGATAGTTCAACAGGTCTATTTCGCTTGCATCCTTTCCCCCCTAAAAATCGATGTGTGTCGTGCCTCCAAAACACAAGAACACTACAGTAATCCACCAGACCATGCTTTAATGTAGCTCATTTCGTCCACGGTTTACTCTTCGGATATCCTATGACTCAGAGGCGGTTGTCTGTGTTCTCAATTGTGTGGGTGTTTTGTTGAAGGTGAGGGCTAAAAACGTTCTGCTTGATTGAATTTCCATAAACACTCGTCCGTGTGCACTCAGACTCACCGAGTCCGTCAAAAGTCACAACCGGGGAACACAATACCAACATTTGTTGGTTATCTCCTATGCCGTAACCAACTGCAGTAGTAAAAAAGATAATCGTGCAGCTGTAACACCGGTGCCTATTTGCCATGCCCCCCGAAGGTAGCACGAGGGCTGGGATACTGCCTGATTGCCTAAGCCTAAAAGAGGAAGTCGAGAGGCAGAGGTCGGGTTCCAACTATGGACCTTCCGGTCAGTAAATTCGCGCTCTTACCACTAGGCCATCATGCTAACAGTGATTTTTCAAATTTAGGTCTCGTAGCAATCCGTGTCATTGATCGAGGTGAAGGACGTCTTCTCACCGAGACAACAATACCATCCAACAGTCCAACGTCAAACCATGAATCTGACGGCTAACCTAAAAAAATTGGTGGTCAGTGAAAATGCAAGAAATGAAGATAGCGACGGCGTTTGGAAAGTTAAACTCTCACCAGACCAATAAGTACATCAGTCAATGAAATCATTACAAAAAAGACGGCACAAAAGTTTAGTCCGAGTCGCCCAGGTTTCGGTAAGCGCAATTGGAAGAAAACTGAGCTGCTTAAAGTACCCATCATAACGCGCCCTGTCTTCTTTAAGATAAAAGAAGATGAGCTCGTTCACGGCGTGGCAAAGCTTGTTTAGATCATTTGAGAAACGAATAATGTGCAACAAGAATAGAGTGTAATTGACGAAGTTTTTGATTCCAAAATGGTGGCACTTCTGAGTGTGAGAGCCATCGGAATGTTAACTGGGAACGGATGTACGAGAGCTTCCGTTTCTATCTTCCGTCAATCGACCGATTAGCACTCTTACAACTTAGTGACCTACCTTGTTCCTCTATTCACTTATATAATCGCTCTTTGCGACTGAACCTTACCATGATGCGACGTACCTCAGTAACTGACCGCGCTACACTGAAGGATGCCCATGCAACATTTGCAGTCTCCTACCGGGTTGATCAGTAAATAAAGGCCTGACAAACACAGTCTCTTGGCCCTTCCGGGTGTGTAGTTGAGACGAGTGTTGTAAATTATTCCCAGAGACTTCACACTAACTTCGCAGTCTTACGCCAATCACCGCTGTCGTAAGCCGGGACGCTGATGTATGGGCACTTTAGAAGTATTTCAGCCCACACAAAATCATGAACTTCAAAGCTAAAAGTAATTTCATGCCACATCAACCGGGCGGTCGTATTTTGTTGCTAATGCGAGTGCTGACTCCCGCGTCTCTTCTTGTTGTTATTCCTTAATTCCTGTCATGCCCTGCTCGATGATCCTTCTTATGTAGACCCTAGCTAGAATAACGTCGGTCGGGCACATATGGTACACAAAAGGTACACTGCACGCTTCCGCTTCAGATCGTTTTCCTGTCCTGATTGCAGCCTCGGACAGATCGGTTGAAAAGCCGCATTTTCGTACATCCTAAGTGCCTCATCGATTGACATCTGCCGGATCTCTGAAGTTTCTACAGAAAATCTAAGTGCGGTTTCAGAGCCCGCTCCACCAGCTCCATCTAGGAGGTACGGACTACGAACCTCGAGTGTTTCTCAAGCTGTTGCAACGGCTGCACTCGAATTGCGTAGCCATCATTTCGCGAGCCGGGGTTTCGTTACTCAACGGAATACTTATAAACAACCACTTCAATAAAAACATACGGGTATCAATACTGGACGCTCTTTGCTTGATGTGTTCATTCACTCACCAGCGAACTATAGCTTCAATTCATTAAAAGAAACCCATCGAGAACTAACTTATTCATCGCTACAAGCTCAGACGTACCCGTAATATAATATTTCAATGCAATGGTAGGACACCTTAGTTTGTCGTAGACACACCCTATCGGTACTTTTCGTATGGGTGCATAGCGAACTTAATACTGATTATCAGTGTCAGGAAAGCCGTATTCCTAAAACTAATCCCAGAATGGCAAAAACCTACTGGGACGTTCAACCCTCATTAAAATCGCAGTAAGGAAGTGTTGCGAGTCGAGTAGTTCCAGGACGGGACTAGAAAGGAGACAGAATAGGAAGACGTAATGTACGCTTTAATCGTTTAATAACTGTAGTACATGAGCTGAAAATAGAGTGAGAATCACGAGTTAATGGGTTATGCAAATGTATGGGTTATATAGTCATGACATTCTCCCCGCCTTGGAATAAGTGTGTACTTTGCGGAGAATGTAAAAAAATAAAAGGCTGTGATAGCTACATGGAGTCGTTTACGCCTCTCTGTTGCGTAGATTATATGGGTGAGTGCGCTGTTGTCGGATAAGAATGTCCAAGTGATTTCCTGGATCCACCATTTCCGGGAAACGCACTAGTCCTCTAGTTTTCAGTCGGCCATCAAAATTCCTGTACCTCCAATCGTCACATCCATAATGTGAAACGTCGAATTTTAGTTCCCACCTAATCCGGATCAGGACGCATGGTGGTCGTACCCTCGTGGATGTTTGCAAGAAAGCAGCGTGTGTGTGTCTAGAAAACGTCTGAATGTCATTTATTGTACAATCAGTTGGTGGATCCCAGTTAGAATATGTAATCACGCTTCTGGTAATTTCCCCTAGTTTGCCCGATACCATTGCTGGCGCCTCGTTTGTCACAGATCTCCGCCGTACTCCTGTAAGAATCTTATGTTGCTAACCTCTTGTATGGACACTGCAGGTGTGCAATTCCATCTACTGCCAACAGAGCGTGAAAATTTAGGTCAAGTACAGCTTCAGGTGCTTTAAGCTGTGTTTACCTTATCCGTCATTGTTGCCTGGTCGTTATCGGTAAGCGGCTTATTCCACCCCATAATATCGGTGCAGTTTAATATGACTTTTGGTCGGGGGAGTAAGGATTCCTTCCTATTCCTTCCCTTCATACTCCGGTACAGAAAAAGCAGCTTCATATCGAACGCTCAGCAGTCATTCAACTCAGCAACGACCGATAATGATGAATGTTCAGGTATGTCACAGAAGCACGGCCGACCATGATGAGTGTTCCTCAGTCGCCAATCAGACAGCCTGGATTACTGTCAAGGTGCCCTTTAAATACTGCGTGGACTCCTCTCACTCGCTTGTTCGCAATACAACTTGTGTTCCTTGTTGACGAGTCTTTTTCCGATACCAAGGCACTGGAGCGGGGACAGCGGGGACAATCAGTTGTTTCCCAGCAATACTGGGATTATCCACAGTGGGCGCTCTTTTGCAACCTGTTGTCCCTCGGGTGTGTTGGAGTCGAAGTAACCATATTACCATCATCGCCGTTCAGTGCTTGAATGTCGCTTCTTCTGGACTATATATGTAGAATGAGACTACCATCTTTTGTTCGTTCGTCAACAACTGACTGCAATGAATTTTGACCTCAATTTGTACTGAATGTTTCCTCTGCAACTCCCCCACTTTCCAGTGATCGGAACTGTAACAGCTAGAACCAATGTGCATATGGTGCACGGTTTCTAGCTGATAAATTGATTTTTGAATTGTACTTCGATTCTTTGCAACGGCTGAAGGCTCCAACATTATGCAAAAAGTGCACTCTCACCCCGGTATCCTAGTACATTTGTCGAGACGTGACCAACTTGACCAAAAGATTTCCCGCAGTCGTTCAACTGTGACATCCTTTTATACCTAGCTGCCATACCGTCCGAACGGAGCACGAGGGTTGTGATACTGCCACGTTGCCCCTTCGCGGTATAGTTGCTCCGTCGATACCGATCATCATGAAGAAGCGGAGTTTTATTTCTCCAGCAGCATTCGTGATATGTTATGAAGTTTCTACAGGGAGTCATGCTTTCTTCACTAATCCGTCATCCCAGATCTCACCTTAGGGTCTTGTGAGTCCGGAATCTGATGTGAGCTTACGCTGCACTCTACACACGTATGTATTTTGTTTGGCTTCGAGCACAAAATCATGTTGCTTTTTTAAAATCATATCTGCCCTATGAGCATGTATATAATCTAACTAGTTGTCGATCGACAGATACTTATAGTCATCAGTAAAGAGCTTACGTTGGAGTCAGTTGATTTCGCTCCTCGTTAGTGTAGTGGTCATGTGATTTTGTTGAGTTCAGTCAGTTTGGGCAGATTCGCAACTGAGGTTCCTTCGGATTTTATGGAGTTTCACGGTCGGACTTCGGAAGAACAACATTCATCAGCTGAATGCAAATCACAATCAAAATTTTATTCACGGTTAAAATAATAGGTTGGATTCACTTTCAGGGCGAAATGTAAGTTGAAAGCAATTACTAAAATTATGGGGTCGGAGACCTTAAGGCGCTACAGACTTTCCGAGATGGCTCAATTGGTTAGAGCGCGAATTCACTGACCGGAAGGTCCGTGGTTCGAATCCGACCTCTGCCTCTCGACTACCCTGTCTAGGCTTGGGCAATCTGGCAATATCCCAGTCCTCGTGCTTCCTTCGGATAGCATAGCTGGACGGTTATTTCGCGGACTTTCCTTAACCTCACCTTACCACTTTCCAATTCATTTTCAGTCCCATGCCACTCAAAGCTGGCCTCCAACCGCCGTTTCTCCCCTGACCAACGGATGGCTTCTTCAAAAAAGGTGTACGGCTACATCACACTTCTCAGACAGTATGTATTCACACCTTACTTCATATTCATCTAATTGAATAAAGTGGCGAAACCCATGCTAATGTCGGAAACATCATTCAAGGTTTTTTTCGCTTCAGTTTGGTTATGCTCCGTCTACAGGTCATATGGATACAAGCCTTTCTCCGGTGGGCTTGTCTCAGGCACAGGACTTGAAGGTTCACATGAATTCCCTACCAATTGACGTGGTGATTTCCAGCGATCTTAAACGAGCCAGTATGGTGTGTTTTTTTTACTTTGTTTACTTATTGTTTTTGAGAAATATTGGCTTCAGTAGTTCATGTGTACGAGCAGTATATGTCAGTCAGCTGAAGTTAAATAGTCTATTCTGCATACGGACATAGGTTAAACATTATCAGCTGAGTTTCTTTATCCGTATCAGTTAACAATATGGAGCATCCCGAGTACCCTCATGAACTTCGTTCACTTTACAAATAACCGTATAGTAACGTATTCTGGCTAGATGTCACAAAGTGGTTCGAATCGGCAGCTTAAATTCCAGCACGTGCCTTTTTTAGATGACAAGCTATATGCACACTTTTACAGCCCGGGTAATAGCTTTCTGACACTTTCAACAACAATACAGATATCTGGTCACCTCCGACTCGTCTGAGCAGTGTCAGGACTGCCTAGCCTAGTCAGTGAACCGGTTTCCGTATGAGACATTGCTTCAGGCTCTCCGAATCGCACAGTGGTGTTTACTTATGAACTCATCGAGGAAGACACGTATACAGTTCGCTTGTCGGGATAAATAGTTGTAATTGGTCTCCATTCAACAAGAAGCACTTGACAATCATTTCCCGGTAATTTATTCGAAAGACCTGAGTGATACCTGCGTTTAACAGCTTCAAGCGGGAACATCTTTTTGGGGGGTAGAAAAGCCAACTTAACACAAGTGAGCTAAGGGGGTCGATGGTATCCCCTTATTGCCGAGTCGTTTACTGACCTGGCAAAGCTAGTCCTCAGGTAAACCTTCGATCATGTGGACTTTCCTACCGACTTCAAATGGTGTACCATCACGTTTGTCGGTGTTGTCAACTGAGAACGCGAGCTTTTCAAGCTCAGCTCAATGACGGCAAACCAGTTCAAGTGCCTCATATGTGTATCCAGTCTCCAGTTGTCCCGACTGCTTCACACAATTGAACAGGATGCTGAAATTACGTTGCAGTGCCTCATCACTGAATTCCAACGCCTCATCAACCCAAAGCACTACACGGCTTCGATCGGTCAATTACCCGCTACTTCAAGCAATTTTGTACACTCAACCACTTCCAACGACTCGAAGAAATCCGAGGACAAACCCGGTCAAAACAGATCAAGTTTCCCGCTAGTTGCTGTCACTGCGGTGAGTGGCATTATGATCGTTATTGCCAGTTCAGGCGTCATATATGTTCCAGATACAATCTTGGTCACAAAGAAGATTAATGGTGATCTCAGATGTCGCAGCTACTAGCACACCACCTTGCAGCCCACAGATCGTGATCCAACTTGGTGACGGCGATATTGAATGTTGATTTTACTTGCATTGGCTCGTATCAACGATGCCCTAGTTCGTTTTTAGCTTTATACGAGCTCTAACATCTCGCTGCTCAGTGAACGAACGTGGAAACGAATTGGTTAGCTGTGTATGAAAGCGGCCGATAATTCACCCGGCACTGCTTCTGGCAGTAAGCTGAAACACACTGGCACGGTTGGTTGCTCTGTAACTTTCAAGGGCTCGACAGCATAAGCTATATGTCACCTGACGTCAGGCCCCAAGCCTGATCTCCTGGGACTGGTTTGGATTGATAAGCTGAACCTGCTGCTGCAAAAGCCGGTTAATTCGATCACGCAGCACCCGGAGTCGTCGTTTTCTAAAGAGTTCACTTGAAGTCGGGCAATACTATGTATCTGTCTTCACCGACGGGCTTAGTGCACAAAATTGAGAACCGGGCTGTGCATCCTCCACGACGCCAGACCAGTTTTTAGGCCGAAACACCCAGTACCGTATGCAGCCCTACCTATCGTTGACCAAGAACTGGACCGACTACAGAAGGCTGGTGTTCTGCAACTGTTCAACTATTGTGCGTGGCCTTACCGATCGTATTGGCGAAGAAAGCTAACGGGACCATCCGCTTATGTGCAAACTTCCCCACCGATCCCAGTGTTGTATAGGGTATCCATCAACACCCTCTGTCTATTTCAAACGACTTGTTCACGAAACCGAATGGCAGGAAACGTTTCACGAAGATTGACTTGGTCGAAGTTTACCTCCAGCTTGAAGTCGAGGAAGAATCCCGAAAGCTTCTCACTATCAATACGCATTGCGGTGTATTTCAGTATACGCGACTGTCATTCGGTGTCAAGACAGCGCTAGCCATATTTCAACAAATCAGAAATGGATGCTGAATGATGCCCCCGGCGTTGCTGCCTATTTGGTCAATCTCATCCTCATGGGTTCCACCCCCGATGAATCGTGGCAGATATTTGATTATGTGCTTGGTCATGAGTATGGCTTCAGACTGCGGCGATAAAGTACCCCAGTTTCATCATTAACGAACACGGCCGCGACCAGACCCGGAAAACATCGACGCCATTAAGCGCTTTGCAGCGCACACAGACGTAACAACCTTAGGTTACTTTCTTGGTCTCGTCAGTCACTATAGCTCGTTTCTGCCTGCCATGCATCGTCTCCGAGGTCCACTGAGCCAGCTACTCACCGAGGGCCACAAGTAGACATGGTCAGAAGGATACCAACGCGCCTATGATCATGTCAAGTTAATGCTGAGTTCTGATTTGCTTCTCACTCACTACGATCCGTCACTGAAAATGGTTATGGTGTCAGATGCTTCGAACTATGGAAATGGTGCATGTATTTCCCGACCTCAGCCAGAAACTCATTGCAGATCCCTGACATCAGCTGAGCATATTTACAGTCACATAGAAAAGGAAGCTTTGGCGTCAAAAATTTTCATAAAACACCCAGTGGTCGTCAGTTTACTGACCGATCATAAGCCGCTGGTTACCGTGCATAGCTCGGAGAAAGATTCCGTTATATACCGTCAATCGTCTCCAGCGATGGGCCACTCTGTTTCTGGAAGACGACTTAAAGATCAAGTGCCAGCCCACCACCAACCTTGGACAAGCCGGCGCAGTGTCGCGTCTTATTAATTCAAGTAAACCGGGACCAGGGGACATTGTAGCCGCAACAATCACATTGAAGCCGGAGGTTAACCGCGTAGTATCGGAAGCAATTTGTACTCTCTCAGTGACCGCTGACATGGTCCAGATTATTGACCAGAGCCCAGTGGTCCAGGAAGTCAACAAGTCCCACCGCATCAATGGCCGCCCACCTATCCGAAAGGCGAATTGAAACCTTACTTCAACCTGTGTAAAGCATTATCACTAGTTGACGGATGCATTATACTCTCAGAACGCGTTGTCATTCCAGAGAATTTACAACCAGCCGTCCTGAACTAGTTCCATAAATGCACACGGGCGTTTGTTCCCAGGTTGAGCAAGTCTCCAACTCTTGCCTGGGGTGTGGTGAAGTATCCAAGTCACCAGTGAAAACCTATGTACGGTCGTGGCCCCAGACGACCGAAACCTGGTCCCATCTTTGCATCAGCTATGCGGATTCAGTTGGTGGCCAATACTTTTTGGTGATGGCTGACGCTCATAGCAAGGGGCCGGAAATTCTTCCGGCGTACACCCCTACAGCTGGAACCCCGGTAGTTGTCCAGTCGCTTTGGGATTCAACAAGAACAACGAACACTGGTTGAGCTGTAGCACCCTTTTGATGGCTAGATGTCATATCATCCATAGGAAGCACGAGGGCCGAGACACTGTCAGGTTGCCCAAGTCTAGATAGGAGCGGTCGAGCCACACCGTCCCGTCGTTAAGTTCGCGCCTTAGCCACTGAGCTATCTTGGGCTTTTTTTTGGAACGTCAGACAGTATTGTATCCGACAATGAGAGTCAGTTCGCGTCATCGGCGTCCACGCAGTTTTGTCGAGACTATGGGGTGACTCATGTCCGTTTCATCCACGGTGAAACGGCCGGGCGGAATGCCCCGTTAACAATCTGAAGTATGCATTTCAGAAGTCCACAGAGGAGGAATCAACGGAGAAGATTTCGCAAAGGTTCCTGCTGGTATATTGAGCGACGCCAAACCCAGTTCTTCTGACGGAGTGTCCCCAGTAGAAGCACTGTCCGGACAGAAGCTTCGGACACTGCACGACACTATCCGGTTACAGGGAGAGCTATTGAGTCATCGCTACGCAAAAATGGAGAACCACTTCTGCCGGCATTATAACGCAGTAGCACGCTCCCTCAGCGAAAGCCAGATAGTGTTAGTTCGCGACTACAACGGCAGAAACCTTAAGTGGATTCCAGGACACATCCTTCGCCGGTGCGATAAAATGCTCTACGAGATTCAAGTTGTCCCAGCCAGGTGGACCTGGTGCGCAAACCAGAGGCAGCTGACGACTGCGCAGGTCCTGTCCACCGGACCGAATTTATTGAGTCTAGAGATGCTTCTGGACCCTGCTGGTCTTGGCACCCTTGCTGAAAATCTACCAGCTACTCCGTCGGAGGCCCAGCCAAAGCACACATTTCGTCCGCGTCGCTGTACAAAGAGGTTGGTGCAATTAAAACCCCGATGTCAAAGCTACGTCAGTGAACGTCAATGGAAAGGTGTTAGGCGGAATCCCGCACCCATACTGCTTTTCTGCTCTCAGGCGCTGCTACAGCTAAGATGCCCAACCTGCACGTGATTGGATAGACGATCGGGCCGCTTGCTGGTCTTGCATTAAGGCGAGCTCCGGTTGCCAAAAGTCGACTCAACAGTCAATCATGTAATATATATGATATAATGGTTCAACTGTAGCACCCTTTCGGTGCCTAACTGCCATGCAACCAGAAGGTAGCATGAGGGGTGGGATACTGTCAGGTTGCCCAAGTCTACAAACGGGAAGTCGAGAGGCGGAGATTGGGTTCGAACGGCGGATCTTCCGGTCAGTAAATTCGCGCTCTAACTGCTGGGCCATTTTGCATCCAGCCAATCATGATCCACTATCCACCGAATGCCGGTTGTCAATGGCGCATCTAGAAGGTGCCGGAATTTCCAGAATGTTGTCCCTGTATACACTCTATATACGACGTGATGTATATATTGGTTATTGATCAGGTAGCTGCTGGTCTGTTCGCGGAACTTGGCAATCAGTTTTCATAATGTACATATGTTTTTCTACCTGGTTTTGGGGATTGGTGCACGTTGTTTGACGAAAACGCTGGCTTGGATGGCTCAGACCGAGAACTGAGCTGAAGAGTGATTGTTATTGCACTACTCGAACTTGTCGGGTGCATTAAGCCGTTTCTCCATCGTGTCGTCCGATAGCAACTCTGTGATCCTATTTTTCGATCATTTTCTGCCTATTCAAGATTCACTACTTCACGCGGTTTCTGGTCGGCTCTGAGCAGTATGCCAGTTTCTTCGATACTAAGTGTAGCTACCGGTTTATATCCTTCACAACTACCTAGAATGCGATTAGGCCTGCCGGAAGCTTTACTGTTGAAGAACCCAGCGGATTCATCTTTGAGGAATCCTTACTCGAAATCCCATTACTGACATGAAAACGATGTTCCCCAAGTTTCATCAGCGATTTCCCTTGCTTCGTGCCTCAGAAGGTTCCCCGTTACTGGTAAATATTTTGCCTTGGTGCTAAAACTGCAGGCGTAAATAGCCTAGTTGATTACGAATATGGACTCAAGCATGGCCGCTATGAGGTCCTTTGTTCCAACTTAATGATGGTGCGCGAACTAATTATGGAATCAATTTGGAGCACAGCTGAAACGATATGGCACTCGGCGACTGTCGTTTTCGATTCTGCCCCATCACTATTTTTTTCATCGGTAATGATTTATTTTCAGAAATTTCTATTGATTGGTAATGCAGCGGCCTCATATTGAGTCTCATCCTGTCAATATGACGCACGAAGCTGGCACATTCTGCGCTCACCGCTGACTGTTTGGATAGGTTCGTCGTCATCACCACCAATGATAGGAGCATCGTCGTTTCCATCATTTGCGTGGGTAGTAATAAATGGGGACTAGAAACTGGCTTTAATTTGCCGTGCAATCATGGGAGAGGATGGCCAAGGTAATCATTGAACATTGGAAGAGTGGGAGTTTGTCACCCAGAAGCTCCAGGTCAAGATCCAGATCTGGATGCCATCGCTCCAACTGTTCATGCTTCTTTCCCACATCTGGTCATTTGCCGTTGACTCCTTTGGTGAGGCTGAACTAGCTTGCCCCAACGTTGCGAGAACTTTCGTCCGATTGTCGTAACAGGACCTTCTGGCCAGGCTGCCCGTGTGCGGTCTGTACCCACTCTTGATCAAACGCATCGGAATTTTCCTAACGAATCTGTTTGTACACGTTCGTCTATACGGGAGTGTTTTCAGATCACCGACGGTAAAATTCCATAAGGCTGCATATTGACGCTCACTTCACTTCTGCGACTCATAAGTGGTCTACTTTTATTCGTTCCAGTCACGTGCAGGCGATCGCTAACAATGCTACTCGCCGCAAACCCATTTAATACTTCAAGCTATGTGCCTCGCCTCAGTCAGTTGACAATCGCGCGCATACCACCAGCACATCAAACGCTGGACTTATTACCGTTCGCGATGTGGGTGTGCCAAATGTCACATTCAGTCCCCCCAATTTCTCGCATGTCTCCCTCATCTTTCACCGTTTCACCTCTCACCATATTGTCCATCAACTCTGACCCAACATGGCATCCTGTAGGTTGTTCTCTTTCGGGTTTGCGACTCCCTAACAACCTTTCCGGATTATCTCATCAAACACCTTGTGACCACGGACTTCTAGGAGGGTTAGGTTTCTATTCCGTTCTGAAAATTTTTCCCCAAATTTCTCCCGACGTGCAAGTCTCACGTCACCCGACCATCGAATATAGTTGTCATGTCTGGGTTGGACTTCTCCCACTTACCTTTCGCTCGCGGAAAGGTTGTGCATCCTTCAAATCCTTACCCACCTTCGAGACAATCTTTCTTCCATCACTAAAGCCTTGGCAAGTACTCTTCTGAATTTGTATCTCCTTTTCCACTTCCCAACTCTGGTCACCTCCACCAGGTGAAAAATCCCCAATCACCACGTATGAACTTTTCCTTCGTTTTTCCCAGAACCGTGTGGATCACGAGTACTCTGTCACTCTCTGTTTCTCGCGCCCACTTATTCGAGATTCAGGTTGCAGTGTATCTGTCCAGTCATAACTGATTACGTTATGAGTATACATACCCAGATTCCGTGTCTTTTAAATGTTTCGATGTGTTTCTATCTGATTTTCTATATTTCTGCCACCCGTACAGTAGGTCTCTAACTGTGAGTTTCATTCTCCCCTGTGCTTGATAAAACATGGACCGGTAACACGACTGTTCATTCTGAGCTATTTTTTCTTGGCAACCTTACTGACAAGTCACGTGTTCATCAGGCCCCGATAAGCAATTATAACGAATTCGGGACCCTGGAATTGTGACTCAGGCTGTTTGCATACATCTTTTTCCAAGACTTCACTGCTGTGACTCTGTGTGCTCTCAGTATTCTATCAGCCACAAAGTGAGCTTGTGAGCAGCCTTACTTTATGGCTATGAAACGATCTGACAGCTCCAGACAATAGATCACCAGTGTCTTCGTAGCAGAACAGACCGTCTTTCCCTTGAGCAGCAGATAAGGCTTGTCAGATTAAAGTGGCTTGGAGTCTACTACGTATGACTGATCGCCGTTTACGGAAGACGGCTGTGTTTTCCACTCGCTGAATGCTAAACAAAGGGATATTCGCACCTTCCTGGTGCTTTCCCAACGATTTTCCTGGCGTATTGATTGTAAATCCTACAATATATAATACCTAACCGATCCAAGTAATAAGCTTGCTCTAACTTCCTAATCGGCTTACCCATTCAAAATTTGCTTGTCATTGTACGCTGGGCTTCTGTGTGGTGAGGTTCGAAAAAGATACAGGTTGAAGCTTGCTAATAGCTTGTTGCCACAACGTAACATTCGGGTGTGTTCATTTTAACGGTTTCAGAAGATGTGAATGCCTTGCTGTTGACCTTTTCCCCTAGGAACATACGGCCATTCACAAGTCCCTACTACCTCTTCTTTTCACTCTTCCCTGTAGCCATCTTCCACCATGATTGTATGGTAAATGAACAGTATTTCTCTGCTGTTGTCGATGTTACTGAGTGTCGATGAAATCAAAGTTCTCTGTAGGGTGTTGGTATCCATTTAGCGAATTTGAGGGGTCTTTGCTGTTGACAAACTCCCATATGGCATTTATAAAACGTAGTTTGGGTACAAGGTCCTTCCCTTTGTTGGTGTATTCATTTATGATGAGTTCGCCTGTAGATGGTCATGTTCGCTTAGGTTAATACCGTGTACACACTTCACGGTTACAGTATGTCCCATCTCAACGTAAGATATCACTCCTTACTCATAAGCAAAGAGACTTGCTCTACTGTCCACCTAGTCTTAGTATGCCCGTTTGCCAGACTTCTATACTGGGTCTGGTGGATTAGTATCAGTACTAGAGTTGCGTATTGATAACCGACGCTGAATTAGGGTGCCCTATGCATCTGAACTAATACTTTTCCCATACATGATATGTAGCCCATTCCTGTTCATCTTTTCTGTGATTCTTTCAGACGGCAGAGGCCCTGGGTCTTTCAATCCCGTTGGAGCTGGACAGTAGACTACGTGAGCGAGTAGGTTTCGGGCACTTCTCATGGTGTGCAAGTTTTAATCTGACGACAGAATTTCGGTCGATACTGCGGGGCACCGAGGGGCGAATTACAAGAATTCGCGGAACGAAATGCCCGGACCGGGGGTGGATGTGATGGGTGGCGTGCAGTTGGTGGAGAGTGCAGTCACGAGGTATGTAGTATGTATTCGTATACATATGAATATATGTATACATCTAATCACAATTCCTTCCTCGAAGGAAATGGGTCCTTGAGACCCACCAGCATCGTGTGCTCCCTCGGCAGTCACGTTTTGGGCCTTCGGTTCGTGGAGATTTTCCGTACAGCTAAGGCGGACATTTAGTTGTTCTACTAATTTGTCGAAATTAAAATAGGTACTGTCATGTGAAGGAATAGGAACAGAACACAAGTTTTGAGTTCTCAGCATTCCACTTCTGTTCGAGCACATGCTCCAACATTACTTCCTTCCAACTATTGTCTGTGACAATTTCATCTTACTCTCCATCAGTTTCTACCGTAGGATATTTACTTGGTGGTATATGGCATAGGGCATGTACCATGAAGGTACATACTTCCAAAGCGACTTGTTGAAAGTGGCGCAGTCGTGCCTCCTTCGGGTGTCATGGCAGCTATGCACCGTTGCAGCCGGACGATTATTGAGCGGGTAATTAGTTCAATCCATTCGCCGCACGAATGGAATGTTTGTTTGGTCCTCCATACAGCCCCTAAGTTAGCAGCACAGTTTTCGTGTTCGTGAATATTCTTCAGAGGCGGTCAGATAAAACGACATCCATTCGTCCATGCAGACGTACATGACAATCGGTTCTTCTAACACAAGGAAACAATAATAAGGATGAAGATGCACGAAACAGCCATCCGTAGAGTCTGTGAAGATGAAATATTAGTCAAATGCCCCGCCGTTGTACAGTCTGGATGTCTGTACCCAGAAATAAAGTTTGTATCAGGCTTTCCCATTCGTTTCATTGTTGATTAGTTTGAGGAGCGAACCACGACCAACTGGTCCTTATTCGGAGACCTTATGGAGAGAGGTTACTTTTAAAAATAGTAAAACAATCCCTGTCCATAACCCCTACCTCCTTGACTTGAGGCAATGAGTCCACATTTTATCCTTCTAGCTGCTGGAATTATTCGTATCTCATACAGGCCACATGGAACAAAGAACACGGACAACGGCACAAGGTTCATCTAGCGTACTCTCATTTTCACTAGGCCTGTGAACTACAACGGGGAGTGGAACTAAACGTTTGTGTGACTAGCTATCAACTCCAAAAAACGTTTTCAGCTGTAACACCCTTTCGGTGCCTAGCTGCCATGCCACCCGAGGGAAGCACGAGGGCTGGGATGCCGCCAGGTTGCCCAAACCTAGACAGGGGGACTCGGGTTCGAACCACGGACATTCCGGTCAGTAAATTCGCGCTCTAACCACTTAAGCCATCTCGCCCCATCAAGGGTCTTCTGTAGGGGCATTTTACCAAAGGGTGAATTCCTATAATTGCTGTCTCCTGTTGTTGAGTTTTACCGGCCACAGCTTCCCCATTTCCAGGAAAAGGGCAACACGAGGAGGGGTCTTTTCGGTATACAGGGATAAACATCGTCCAGAAAAGTGATTTTCTGACCTCTGGCAGATATCTCGCAAATGTCTTTCTCTTGATTCGTTTTCGCTTGAGGGACTGTCATTTGAAAGCTGAAGTCGCATTTTTTCATTCAGCGAGTTAAGATAACGTTCTTTAGCTTGATGCTCTCTCTGAGACGGAATACCTTCAAAACCGCTGTATATCGTCTGCTTATGTGGGCTTCCCACTGTTTGACCCGTGACAATACGGCGTTTCAGAATATAGCACCGGGGAGTCCTGTTTGCGGCTTGAAAGATACCATCACCATCGTCACCATCATCCTCATCATCGGAGGAAGAACCATTAGTGTTGACACCACAATACAACCACAAAATTTAGTTGACTATATTTAAAGCCCTAAAGTGCAAAAGAGAACAGTGGTCTTAGCCTACCGCAAGTATTCCGAGGTGGCCCCATTTGTAGGCGCTCAGTCAGACGACCTCAAGGGAATTGACAGCACGAACGCCACTGACATCCACTAGCTACTATTCCTAACAGTCTCCAGCCAAGTTCCTAGGGGTCGTGGGGATCCCATCCAGGATGACTGACTGCACCAACAATGCCCAGATTCTTCGTAATCTTTTTCATACCCTTCTGTCAAGTCACGTATTATCCATCTCTGAAGGATGCCTGGAGAAGGACACTCGTGTCGGTAGACGATACCACCATATTGTGCTTTGTTTCCCTTGTAATGTCACCCTCTGATTCACTTTCGAATATCCAGTGCTTCTCTTAGTGTAAATTAGTACTAAATTAGTACTATTGCTCATCATAACTCGCAGCTTTTCTATGTAACTGCTTTGAGGTGAATAAGGCACTGCTTTTAGTGGACTCTGACTTTTTTCGCTAGTGTTGTGTGAGTCTGATCGATTAACGCTTGGTATGTCCCGAAACCTTGGTCTTCTCGTGATTTGTTTTCCCTTATGCGGACAGATGGCCCACAGAACGTCTACGTTTCTGCTCGATTTTTGTTCACGTTTGGTTCAAGGATTGCGCAACGAAGAACCCTTGTCTGACTACAGTCATGCCAGTGTGCAGCCTCCGATATTCCGCTCGTCATCCCGTGCCTTAATGCCTGAGCCTGTGCAGGACTGTTTCGGTGATCCAGACAATCACACCTTTCGATACGCTGGACACGCATTGATGGTAAGTCGGACCCGAACTGTAATAGTATCCCAACACCCACCCTGCTGTGATCACTTATTTTTATGGTTAGGTGTGAAACTGATTGCGCATTCTTTATCCGTATTCCGATCTGAATGTATTCGGTGGCTCATAACACCTTTTTTCATAACCTCTCTTCAAGTCAGTGCAGTTACTTGGGCAAGCACCAGAACGGCACAGCCATCTGTTTTATGCTCGAAATTCTGTGTTTCTGCAGAACTTATCTTATGGGCGTTATATACCTTCCAAGAAACAGCTGATTTCATTCAAATCTGCTCGATACTTCTGGAGCTACAAGCGTTTCTTTCAAGCATTGGCTTAGTTGTTTTTGTTTCCAACTTTAAATATGCAAGTCCAAGTAAAGTTGTCAGTAATTACGCAAAGGGAAAATAGCTGTCTATGTGTTATACTTCATTCTTTCAGCTAGACTCTAGCTCAGTAGTTCCTAACCGCTATTACCGTTTTAGCATCCGACCCTTCTGCGTTGTTCACGACACGCATTTTGACGCCCGTATGTAGGATTTCACTCAGGTTACCTTCCTGGTGAATTTTTTCAGTTATCTGGAGAGTTAGCTGTTCTAATGTGAGCACCGTATTGTCACACATATAATATGTTCGTGCGTTATGGCAAACAAATGTACCGCATCAGAGCAAATACAGTAAAAATACAGAAGCGATCAGTAGGAGGTAAAATGGACTGAAGGTAAGTATTGTGTAGTTCCTTGAAGGGACACCATGCATAAGGTTGTTGAACCCCACGACCGGTTTCACTCTTCAGGTGGGCGCAGTCAACTTATGATCGACTGGAACCCGAATCGGACAGATTTAGACAAATACTCCCATCTTCCCGCTAGTTTGGTTTTAACGAGAGACAACTGAATCCCAGATGAATCTCTTGTTTACGATATTGTTCAACCGAATATGCTGCACAAGAATAACCTCGTGCCTCAGTTCGTACTACATTCGAGACGTCGCACTATGTTTTGTTGAAAGAAACACTACTCCCAAGAATTTCGATGGCTATTCGACCGGTTTCGGTTTTCTTGGTGCTCATCAAGTGTACACGGTTCCTGAGTTTGGTCTATAGACGTCGTGGGAATCTGGTTGTCCATTTTAGGCCTTTAGATATTGGATGCGTCAGTACTGTTAGCTTGAAGCACCTTGTTTGTGGTTCTATTTCAGGAACTCTTTCACCCGCCTAATCGATGTTCACTTGATACGTGGCCTCTGGTGAATGTGCGACAGTTAAGTTTTCCCAGTAGTCAGTTGCTTTTGGATCTGGCCGCATAGGCGTCTACACCTTTCACGCTTTCACTCGTGGGTCTTATAAACTTCAAGCTATCTCGACTTTCAGTCAAACTCCATTCGATGATATTGCGGAATAGATGGTAATGAATAAGCGTTCAGCTGTAACAACCTTTCAGTGCCTAGCCGCCATGTCACTCGAAGGTAACACGACGGTTGTGATACTACTCAATCCTTCACAGGAATAGTCGCGATACCAGGGTTGGGTTCGAACCACGGAATTTCTGGTCGTTAAGTTCCTACCTTAACCACGGCGCTGCCGTCCGAAGAACGAAAGTGAAATCCCACTGTTTAAAAAAATGTCTGCACCACGAGAGCTAGGATGTCCAAGCAGGGATCCTTTCAAGAAGACCGCGGCCTACTGTGCACTTGTCAAACTCAAACAAAGAGAGAAGAATGTGGAAGATTTAAGACGGGGACTGCGATTCACACTTCAGCGGCTGATGGCCGAGGCAGTGAAAATTACCAAGCACCATATCGCGAGTGTGTCGAGCGTATGGAAAGCGGTCTTAGATAAGCCGAGTTGACACGTGACTCTGTGTGATTGTCAATGCACGTAGAAACATTAGCAAAAACAAGGGTTGAAAATCCCAACCCGACGAAAGTTCACAATCTCTTTTCTTCCACAACCATCTTAGCACTAGCTCATCTACACAGACGGACGAAAAGTGCAAACGGCGTTCAAGAGGGATCACCACTTGGACCGAACTACACCCTGAGCTGCACCCAAATCCATGTAGGCTCTCATCGGCTTAACACTTGGTGACTCACTCTAACACACAATATCCCTTGGTCGACACCTAACACAGATTTAGCTTGGTTTAGCTGATTGGTTCCCCTTCCACCTCAAATCTCAGCCAACCCCGTAACCTAGTCACTTGGCCTGACGAAGCTTTTGTGTCAAAGGTGAAACGTTGCCCATCAATAAATGTACCGATTGTTACCAAACTTTTCCGGAAAGAAACATGACGTTTATTTTCATTACAACCATATTCTAGGTGTATGACTGATTGTGGCAGTTATCCTATCCGATGCCTTAGTTGCCGACTGCAAAGGTTGGATCTGACCAGTGGATTATGCTCCGCTCATTGATAGCAACTTATCTAAGACCATCGCGTTTTTTCTGTCCAGCGTACCTAAACGTTAGTGTCCCGAAACACTAACAGATTCTCAGTACACTCGAGCTGAACAGGGTCGTAGTAGCATATTTAACCAGCTCCCTAGTTGACTCGCGGGACCTCACACAACCGAAGACGCTTCCTCTTTGCAGTGGAAAAGCTGAAAATGATCACGTCAAAAACAAGGGACAAACAACCACCTCCATAGACAACGTCTACATTAATTAGCGAAAACAAGGAGCAAATGTCTACGGGTAAACAGTCGTTTTTTCCGCCTGGGTTGATGTTAGTACAAGTAGCATCCCTCATCCAAATGTGATGCAGATGCTACTTCGTGTTTCAGCTGACCGATATTCAAGTTGTCCGAAATATCTCCACGCTAGAACAAAAAACAGCATCATTCGAACGAAGGTGACCCTTTTAACATCTCTTCTACTCGCTCCGACACCCCGGACATTGCAGGATGAATTCATTTCGTGCGATCTCGTCTATCGCAATACGTGTAAAACAATGAAATAAAACGAAATACAGGGCTAGTTGCATTGTTTTTTTTATAAGGAACTATACTACAACGTGATCGAACAATAAAACCAAGTAGTCTGAGAATGACGGTTAGGTCTTTCCGAGCGCACAATACAGGCCTAACTCGGCAATCAAGATTGCCTTGAGGAACTTCAGTTTATGTAGACGACTGTTTCGTGCCATGATCCGAGAAGAGGAGTAAAGTTCAGCTCTGATCCCTTTTCGATGAGATGTCCAAATTCAAAAATTTGTCACTTGCGAGTACGATGGCATCTCCCAACGACTGTGGCAGATATGTCGATGATACTTTCATAGGATATTGACTCTACTTTGTTCTAGATGTTTTTAATGGAACCCATCCACGCGAATTTTAACAGAAAGGCTAGCTGTCCCTTCTGGACGTGCTGCTAAAGAGACCTCAAGATGAGCGGATACAGTGTCGCGTGTTTCGCAAACCGACATCGACGGCTCACCACGCACACTTTCGCAGCTGTGTTCCACTTAAAGTAAAATGCAGTCGACGGATTTACAGCAACCTGATAAGTAGTACATTACAAAGATATATATGTATCGTGATACCTCGAATATCGTAGCGACTGAAACATGGGGCCGCCTGGTGCAGCACAATCAGTTGCCTGAAAACGTCTCAAACGAGAGATTCAGCTGGGTCCCAGATGAGTCTCGAAAAAAACCAAATTAGTTTGCAAATCGGTGTATATTCGCTAAAGTGCAATCTTGCTCATTGCTTCTACGGTAGAGCATTAAAAATTTGCTCGACAAACGCTTTCACTAAGGATGGGTGTTTCGGCAGAGCGGTTACTCAGATTGATTTCTGGCAAAGCGTTTCAAACCAAAACCTCGGAAGCAAGGCTTACTTGCTGCCAAACAAAAACCTCTCCCTGTCTTCCTTTCAAAGGCGATGCGGTCGGTGAAGTGCTAATGCGAAGACCATAAAAAACATTTTACCAGAACGTTTTACACTGCACTCCGTCATCTAGTAGGAGCCAAAAAACAAACTTCCTCATCTGTGTTTATGGAGTTACGTGCTACTGTGGAGAGAGGTATTTCAGTAGGAGGACGAAGCAATTGTCTGAGGGTATGCCGTGGGTGTGGTAGAGGAGTCAACGACACAAAGTGAGCAGTTCCGTTCTCTCCCATCTCTTCGGCAATGGACACACAGTAGGCGTTTTGACCGCTTTCAAGCCCGCTAATGAGTACAAAGTTTCTAACAACTCAGCTTCGTTCTACCACAGACCTAGTTGGAATCCGCATTTTCGAACCTAAACTGTGTACAGAAACGTTTTACGCAGGCTTGCCCGAGCGTTGATATGTCTGTGCTTCTCTTAAACTTGCTTCATGCTACTTTGTTTCACGAAACGGTGATAAATACTTTCAGAAAGACAGAGTCATCAATTCTTGGGTGAATGGTGATGGTAACAGGGTTCAAGTCGGAAGTCTCGGTTGATAACCACTCGGTGATGGGAAAAATGTTCGAAGAGGTGCGTTGTGGATCGATTCAAAAGTGTGATGGTGTGCAATTCGCAAATTTCACTGGAGCAATGGTATGGCATGAAATAGTAACGTAACTGCGGAAGCCTATGTCACAGAATGCTGACTGCCGGAACCGATGTATTTGAGAACCGAAGGAGTGCACTGTGACGTGTGAGACAGCGTAACTAGCCCCAGTGATGCAATTTTGATGTTAGTTAACTAAAGGGCATTTGCTGTTAACGTGGCTGTCCCTTTTTTCACTTTTCATCATTTATAAGCCTTAGCGACGGATTTGACTATCGTCCAAACTTTATCTCATGGATAACAATAGCACGCCAGATGAGTGAACTCCACTCAACCATACACTGACAATGTCACGTCAATTGATTAAAAAACATTCGCTTCCAAGCTCGATCAACAGAACCGCAAAAAAGCAGCACACGCGAGAAACCTGCATTCCACAGAGTCGTCATATACAAATACAATTTTAATTTATTTTCACTCATTCAGTCGACGGAATCAGCACACGTTTGTAAACAATGGCCGTTATAAAACTTTTCAGTGATGGTACGATTGTAACCAACAGTTTTGGCCGGTCATTTGTTTATTTTTCTTTAGGCTCCACGAAATTCACCTTGGCAAATTCATTCACAGAAGTAATGCCGAACGGAAGTGGTTCCCATCGCTTACTTGTAATAATGGTAATGCCTCAGCTCAGTTCTCAGTTTGCACCTTCCAAGCTAGCGTTTTTGACAAAAGAACCACCAAAGGTATACAAAGTGTATTAGTTGCCCCAAACCAGGTCAAAAACATATGTAAGGTACGTCGCATTTCCTGTATTTCAGGCGAAATTATTCTGGAAATTTCGAGGCCTTCTAGATGCGCCATTGGCAACCGGCGTTCGGCGAATAATGAGTCATGAGTGGCTGTTGGTTAAACAATGGGAGCTTGCCTTGATGCTGGACTGACGCGACCCGATCTTCTGGTCAATCCCGTGAGGGTTAGGCTCCTTGGCCCTAGCAGCACTTAACCGCGAGCGCTGAAGCGGTTTTCGTGCGGGACTCCGCCTAACACACATGATGTCTTAATCCCGAACGGGTCTTTCTCGTTGTCTTCTAACATGTAGCCCGTTGCAAACTCTTCAACACTGGCTGTTCTGAACATTTTATGAACATGTTTGTATCTCTTTCTCCTCATGAACATGCGCTGTTTTATCTCTTTCAGGTCAGTCACGGTGGGTGGATCCGACATTTTCTCCGTCTAATGGCACTACAGGCGGAACATAGCTTTCGTTTCCCGAAACAGTGTTTGAATTCTGTGATGAATAACTGTGGTATTTGCCAGATCGGGATAGCATTTGATGTGGCACAATTCCTAGCCTTTCGTAACCAACAGCCACCGACTCAGGTGACAGGAAGCCTTTCTCCGTTGCCTGTGTTTGGGAATTTGTTAGAATCCCCAGATCAAGAACACAAATGCCAATTTCATCATCTTGCTCATCAGCGGTTCCCCCTGTTTACCGTTTGCTACAACTTCAATCTGACAAAGTCTGATCTCGATATGAAGGATGGCAAAAACCACTCCGCATCCCCTTCGAATAAGGCGGCCAATGACCTTTGTGGCCGAATGGAAGTCATCTTCTCAGACGATGGAGATGAGTATACTGGGATGCCAACAACAAACGATGCAAACCGAAACAGCTGAAGAATTTGTGCCTAGTTTTGTTTTTCCCAAGTCGTTCTGTTATGTATCCGCTCGTGTTCGATAGCGCCCAAAGTAGCCAGAATTAATTTCAATTACATATTACACCCTACCGTTTTGCTCTTTTGTTCCTTCAATCCGTCTATGAATTTTGCTCGATTCAACCTGAAGTACCTCACGCCTGGTTCCACAAACTTTATAACGCAAGCTGACGGAAGCCTCCGACGCGAAGCCTGAGTGGACTCATGGGTGCTCTCAAGTGGTGAGGTGAGCTGGGTTAGAATTCACCAGGACTACCTGTCTCACCTTGTCCTAAGCTTTATCGGGTAGGCTCGGACTTCAATCCGTTTAATATGCAGCCGGGATATTGGACTAAATCGTTGTTAATTTGCTACTCCCGTGCTAATAATTGTAACTGCAATCCATCGTTCACTGCGTTGGGTGCATAATTTGGCAAGGGAGCAGTACAACATTGAAGGTATTTTCCGTCAACCACTAGGAGATTTCACTCTAGTTAGAACTTACACAAGGTTTCAGTTTCTCCGCCAATGGTGCGTTTCTAGCCTGTATTCATATGGTTATCCACTTTCACAACACACCTTCCACGGTGATGTCAGGTCTTTCGTTGCTTGTGTGTCAAGTTTCAATGGATAGTTTGCATCAAACAAATGTATCAAATTACCGCATCCTATGACCATGTCCGAATAGCCTGCTGAGCGTGAGACTCATGCTGTTTGATCCCCTGAATTACCAATCTGGGATATTTAGAGACTATACTTCCGCCGCTAAATTGTGGCTATGGGCGTTCCCTGCGCGTACTAAACACAGTGGTCCATCCGGATAATGCCGCACTTGATCTCAATTGCATGGTTTCCTTTAATCGAACGTACAAGCAAATGGTGATGTACAATGGCACACTGCAGCTAGTGCAGTAATGGTATGACCCTGCACCAGATGTGCGATAAAATGGACACATCCTCATAAATACTTCCTCTATCATTACATCATTTATCATCTCAAATCCAACTACAGTGCTTTAGGATACAAGGCGCTCGAGACCACTCGTGACGTAATCATCGTCCATGTGCACTCGTTTTAGTGCAGTTATGCTCTAACAAAGGGGCCGATATCCAAATGTTGCTTTTCACCAGCCCTTCAGACCGGTTCCTCCAGGGCACGAAAATGAAGTAAGTTTCCCGAAGAGACTGGAACTTACCGCGGTGTGACGGTTTGCGCACCGTCAGAACCCGGTGAGCTGTACTGGGAATCGTACGTGTGACACTCACACAGCCTCTCGTACCGGATTAGTCAACGAGTGGAGGTCTGAATAACATAGACCTGGTCCTCCCGTTTTAGAGTTGGAGCATGTGTGGCGACTTGCTCCTTAAAAATATGAACTTGTTTGATCCTGCACCAACCAGCGCTACCTTGCGGTTAGGCTTTCGTTGATGGTGCTAATCGTTTTCTCGTCTAGGTCTGGGGGTTCTTGTGGTATCCCAGCCAATGCGCAACCATGGTGATAATGAGGAACTGCTTGTAAGGACCCGCAAAGGGCATTCTCCTTCGATACTTGATCTTTTTTGGGAGGGGTCTGACCAGTGAAGAAAGTCCCGTAGGACGAACCCAAAATATATGTAACTGGAGGCTCATCTTTCCAGAAAAGGGGCACTGCATTATTCACGCACCTTTTGGATGGCAGTCATCCACCATCACTGACTACCTGGGGGTGATAACTTTGTTTTCATCACGTCCCCCAGATATCAAACTAGTTTCAAACAGCATGAGATCGGTCCATGAACTTTACACCCTGGTCTTTGCTGTGGTGGGATTTCGTACCTTCTGGACATTCAAAGCGGTGTTTATTGGGAGCAAGTAGTGGCTCCTCAAAAGCTGGCAATTTCAAGCAATATTTTACGGCACCGGAGTGCGGTGGTTGGCAAAATTTGGCCAACATTGTTTTGGCCGTCGCCTTTTCTTCGTCTTACTCTCTTGGACTTTTAGTTGTTACTGGTGTCAGTAGTTCTTCGGCTCGTTATTTCCACTTGTAAGGGAAGTTCCCTTAATTGATTTGTTTAATTATCTAGTGTAGCCTGGGCGATAGCTTTACTGTCATGATACGCATCACTCCCTAACTGAATAGGCAACATCATACAAGTTCATTCTAGTCGAAAAGGGACCACCCAGCTAGGTTGCTTTCGAAACTATACCCTTAGTGGAGATTCTACATTTTGTTATACATGACTGCCGTTGTATGTATCACTTACAAAGATAATTATAATCCAGCCTATTTGACATTGCAAGCAATGCTCCCTTTCGCCGACTTTGCATCATTTTTGTTCTTGGTACCCGCCAAAGACCCAGCCTTATGTGTCCTTGATGGCTTACGTGTGGTCGAAACGTTTGTTTCCCATTGTATGATGCTGTTCACACTGTTAGGGCCTTCTATAGCAAGAAACCAGACAATCTGATAAGCTTTTTTTTCATAGGAGCTTTTAGATGTGGTCATTCATATAGTCCACATCCTGAACCGCAATGCAACCCACAATCACTCGTTGGGTGCGCGTTTCTTTGGTAAACCGGTGCTTCCAATGAGGAAGTTAAGACGTTTCGACGCATACATCCGGTTCCTGCAGGCCGATCGTTCTCATTTATAACTTGATGGGGGACGCTCTATTTCGACCACTCGTTGTCTACTTTCATCGTCGAGCCTTTCTTGGCGGTTTGCCGCTATTTTGCGTCTACCACTTCGATCTCTGCCTTCCCAACCCTTGTTGCCTCTTGGTCTGTTTGACTACTATTCTTAGGCAGTGATCTAATGGTTATTGATCCCAGCTTCATTCTGAAGCTTCTTGGTAGCGCTTGTTTTCTTGAATCGTAGGTGAAATGCTATATGGACACAGCATAGTGTGAAACAGATTGTCCGTTCATGCTTCCGCCAAATTTGTGTCAGGGTCATAGAAGTTGCACGCGCGAGGCCATAACACGTATCCGGTTCCAAGGTATCTACAATTCAAGAAATTCAATCAAAAGTGGCGGAAATTTTCCGTCTATCATTACACCGCCAGTCTGCAAAACATAACCGCAGGTTCCACAACATTCAGCAGGTTGACTTAAAAATATGTCACATCACTTGTTCAGTCCCGGTCTGGAATGAGGTGATGGTCTTGCAGCGAAAATCAATTTTGCGGTATCGTGACAGTTTGTCCACCCGACTAAAGGTATCCTGGTCAGGTTTCCATCTCCTATAGATGTTCTGTCTTGTATGCTTCCCAGGGAAGCTGTTATACACCGTTTCGGCTCCGTATAACTATCCATCGTGCCAATTGAAGCAACCTCCCTTCTGTTGCTGTAGTGGTTTCTCCGTTGTTTTGGAGGCCTCTACGAAGAAAGCTAAACGTGATTTAGTCCTTGTCCGGGTCAAAATGATGTCAGCGCGTTACAAGCGGTAGAGAGAATTCTTCATTCATTCATCATCTTCAGAGAGCAAAATCAGTATTAACACGATGCTTCACTGCCGCATAACTACGTTTATTTAACGGTACTAAGGCCAGGAACTCCAAAGAACAGAAAAGAATGGTCGTGGGAGGGACCTGGTACTGGACAATTGCAAGCGTTCTGGGGTGTCTCGGCATCCAGGCACTCAGTCAGCCAGTCTGGAATGAAACTGACACCACCATCGACCGCCATTTCTTGCAGTCTGTAGTCAGTCGCATAAAGGTCATGGGTCATCCTGGAAGCCATACTACACCAATCATACATAGACTCTTGGCAATCTCTCGTACCCTTTTACCAAATCATGGGTTGTTCACTGCACGGTTTGTTCCATTCTAAAGAAGGAACGGAGGACAACACTAGTCTCGGTAAACGATGTTTCGGTATGTTTAGTACATGGCCGAGCCACCGCAGTAGACGGTGCTGGGTGTTTTCTGCGATGCTATTGCACTCAAGTTTGACTGCAAGTGTGTCATCCGCTGCCAAGGTCACAGGGGACTGTAAATCTGGTTGATGGTCCTAATTACCAGCCATAAGCCGTGTGCAGATGGTATACTGGTCTCTACTGCAGCTTTTTTCGCGTTATTTGGGCTTTTGAACAAGTTGGATTTTTACTGAAAAAAGGAACCTCGTTTCTTGATTTTCTTCTGCAAAGCTGGGTCAAATGATTGCGTTTCCAGTTAAGTCTATAGCCTTTTGGGATTGCATTTCTAAGGCATTACAGCGTGGTGACGGTCGCTTTCTGCTTGTGGGTTATTTGAGACTCAGTTGCTTCGAATGAACGGAATTTGCATGGTAAAATAATCTTTTGTGGAGTACCGACACGAGGCACTAAAGGAAGTAGACTGAGAACCGCTAAAATGGCCATCCCCACGCCGCGCGACCCTGTGGAATGGTTCGATTTGTAGGGTAATACATCAGAATTCAAAAGTCTAATATACGGAGCCTCGCTGGAGATCTATTCACAAAACACCCCGACCCATGGCACTACACCTCCAACAGAAAAGCGAGACGCGGTCGCCACAGTTCGTGGATAATTTCCCCGTTCCCTTGTTAAATGTTTGTTGTATCCTTACATCCGTTTTCCTCGAGTACCATACTGTGATTTCTGTGCGTTCGTAGCATCGATATTTAACCGCCTGATGTCCGCTAGTTCTTTCCTAGTATGTTGTGAAGAGAGCCGTTATTGTGGGCATCTTCTGTGAAGGGTTATAGGAGTACTTAGAAGGTTCTTCTAGTACTTGCGTGGTTGTGAACAGCAGTTTATCTTTAAAAAAACTAGGAAGTCAAATTTCTTACCTATCTAACTGCTAGACGTCTGTAGGAAGCTAGTAATTGTTCTGTTGTACCTGATGAATCTTTTGGTGCCGAATAAGCCACTTGTCTAATCTCCATCACTGTCTCTTCCTCATACAGCTCCCTCACAAACACTACTGCCGTTTATTCACCCTATTCTGGTTTTGTTGCTCTGTGAATCCGCCAGGTGGGAAGTGTTAGGAAAATATGCGTCAGCTTGTTCTTGGCCCTCACTCAGCTCAGCTAGACCCCAGATCGAGAACTCCTTAGATGTTTCCTTTCTCAGGGATGTTCAGAGCATTAATGTCTCCGCCTTTCTTCCTCCCAATAGCTCACTTTTATGCGTCTCAGACTGGGATATCGTTGTAGGAGATGGCTCAGTGTTTAGAGCGAGAATTTATTGACCGAAAGGTTCGCGGTTAGAACCTGACCCGTGCATCTCGACTTCCCCTGTATAGGCTTGGGTTACCTGGCAGTATCCCAGCCCTCATGCTTACTTCGGATGGCATGGCAGCTAGTCATCGAAAGCGTGTTACAGCTGAACGATTATCTTTTATATTTATCTTTTATTATCGTTGTAAGTAAATTAGGCATTGATTCCAGCGGTTCCAAGCGTTCAAAGCTGGGTTATCACCCAATGTCTTTCACAATTGCGTGGGTAAGTGCAAAATGTCGTCCGCAACCGATAAGTCTGCCTCTAATGGATCTTATGCAGTGTATCAAACCTCGTGACCTTAGCAAGGAAACCGATCGTGTGCAAACCATAACTTTAGTACTGGGTCGAAAAGGTTGCGCAGTCTAAACCGGTACTGATGGCATGGGAAAGAAACAGTAAGCCTACATGATAGTTGGGCACGAATGTGTATGCGTGAGGCAAGTAGTAACCACAAGGGAAACTGATGAATGTGTTCTTGACGAAGCGCGAAAAGTAGGAGCAGATGTGATGTGCCGTATGGTGACGTGAACGAGGGAACATTTATGCATTTTCTCCAAGCCGAGGCCGGAGGTAAAACCGCAAGTCATTCGTGGTTACAGTCCCCTTGATGGCACACGCCTTACGCGTCCGTTCGTCTTTTTTCCGGACACCAATGCTCCAAAATCTGGTATACAGTGCCCATAGTTATGTGCCAGGAACATCACCAGCATTGTACTTCGAAAATTAACGAAATGTTGATAAGCTCACTGAGAAAAGTCCCCCGGAAACGGTTAGGTCAATACATATGTCCGTTCCTCGTTAGAAGTTTCAATAAACTAATGGTGGCTTTGTCCTTCATCGCTGGTGCTAAGCATGGAGAAGCAAACTTTTGCCTCGTGAAATACAGTCATTTCTGATTTAATTTCTAATGAGTGGTCTATTCTTTACCTGTTTGAGTTTGTAAAGTCCTCAAAGACCAACTGAATCCTATTGGTCCGTCTTAAGTTGTGTTGAGTTGCGGTCTCCATTCCCTGAACTTAATTGGTGCGTCGAGTAGTTTCTGACAGAGGACCTTTTGTTCCTGCTCTTAGTGATTGGTTTCCGACTTCTGCTGAAGTTTGACTTGACTTCCCCTATTGTGATTCCAACGACAGTTCTGTTTTTGGTAGTTCGTTTTCTTCGATTTGATTGCCCCGTTGTTTATTTCCATTTTGTTTTGGTCTGATTCTTTCAACTTTACTTGTGTGGTCGCGCTTTTTATCTGTGGTTATTGTTTTTCTTGTGCTGCGGGCGGTTTCTCACGTTCAACTGGTTAGCCAGATGCTTTTATGTGTTGACGGATTTTTCATTGTTTGTTCAACGGTGTTCTTTAATCTCTTAATATTAGTACACAAGGGAACCGAGTTAGCTGATTCTGAAACAGAACAAACTTAGATCTGGGTAAGTTTAGACTGACCGAGTGCTAAACCCAACTCACCATCATCATCATCGACAGCATAACATCAGTGTTCAAACACTGATGCTTCGCTACCGTACAACCACAGTTTATTTGAAAATCCTCTTGTAATGAGAAGAATAAAATTGGATTGGGAAGGGATTTCATGCTAGTCTATTACAATCATTCTGCATTACCTACATCTCCAGACACTCATTTGGGCACAACATGGGTCACATGGGCCTCAATCTGGAAGGCCAGTCGTACCGACAGTACCTAGCTAGACCCCTCGTAATCGATTTCATTCCCTTTTTCCATGTCAAATGTTGATTACCACTACTTGAACAATCGGAATTTGGCACGGAAAACAGCCCTCTTCGACAAACGATGATTCTCCGTGCGCAGTACATGACCAAATCACCACAGTTTTCGGGGCTGATTACATTCCTTGATTGTTCTCCGTTGAACAAGCAAATACTAGTTTTCTAATTATCTCGTTGCGAATTCACCGGCATCGGCCCGCGAAAGTTATCGCTTGAGACAACGGTTGCCGAAGACGCCTCACTACCACTGTCCAAATAGGCCACGCCTCATAATCATGGAACAGATCGGCCCATACTATAGCCTGATACACGCGTCCCTTGAGATACGGCGATACACCGCTTTGCCACCATAGGTATCCCATATTACCGAAGCGAGCCGAACCTCAAAGATCCGTGCATCGGCTTCGCTTGTCACCAGAACCAATGCAGTTTCCAAAATACAAATCGCCATATCATCTCCGTGGCGTAATGAGTGACTGCATGGATAGAAGCATGACCTTACACTTTGTGGATGCGAAGGGCATGTCAAAGGATCGGTTGGCTTTGATAATCTCATCCAAAAACAGCTGCTCCTTATCTTCGAAGACCAGAACGATGTCGCCTGTATATTCTAGATCGACAATAGGCCCTTTCATACGTTAGTCGTGGGTTTCTTTTGCAAATTGTTGGGGAGAAATTGAGTGATTCTCACGGTAAACTGACAATGTGTTGGAATCAGCCCAAAATAATTCAGTGGTCCCAAAAAACGGTACACTTCCAAGATAGAAAGACTCCTACTCTTTGGAGAGGGCTTATTAAGGTAGTGGCAGCATGTTCTGCCCTGAAGCACCCACAGGTTGTTTATAACAAGTCACTCATTTTCTGAAAAATCGAACAAGAAATACGTTTTGGAAAATGGTTATAAAGGTCCCTACCATGTGCAGATAGGTGTACGACAGCGATCACAACACATAGGGTCTTTCTTAGAAACACGCCCAAATTTACTTCGTTCTATGATGAAGAGCTGAGGCGCGTCCAGCTCTTCTCTGTACCTATCCGCATTGATCTGGATGAATCTCACCCAGGTGATTTCATAATGAATTTTGTAATAGGATCCCGGTGGGAGAGCAGTGTTTTGTGTGACATTTGTTCATCTTGCATCGGTTTTTTTTCAGAACAGATTCTGGTATTGAATAGTACAGCCTCTACGCACATGGTGTTTTGTTGCTCCCACACACAATACATAATGGGTAGAAGACTAACCTTTAGACAGAGCTCACCAGCTACGTGTGTGTTGGGGTGGGGGTGCATTGTCAGTTTTTTGTCTAATAACATATGGTAATGAAACATCAAGGTGAGACTATTGTTCTATCGTCTTTCATCACCTTGTGTCAAGCGAATTCCGGTAGACAGACATTAATTTCATTTCATTACAAGTAAATTTCTTCCCTCGTAAATCGCATTCTATGGAGAAACCGCTAGTGATCATTATTTACTTTGACGACTTTCAGAGTAGAACCTTCGAGAAATGTCTTCTCCCATCGACCAGGTAACTATAACCTCCATATCGCATGACTCCGAATTTTCCGGTTCATTTTGGATATGTTGGCGAAAGTGCAAATTGTCAATGACCTCAAAAACGGTCTGTTACATTGATCTTCACTGCAGTTCTTCAACGAACTACACTAGCAGATCGCAAGCATTTAATAGAGGATCATTCTATGATTTACCGGTTCGTGGATGAAGGCCTCCCTAGAAAATTCGGCGGAAGCCATTCCATCTCAAGCCAAACTTCACCGATAAACTTAAAATGAATTAAAAAATGTAACACTTACCAAGGAAATATTGGATACGCACGGTTTTTCTGGATTTGAGATTTCCTCGGTTTTGATTGCTGAGTTTGGCCGCAGATTTGTGATCTGTGGTCCCCTCCACTCTATAACGGTTGAAAAGGCCTCAGGTTCTGTTGCTACGGGAATAATTTCTGACGAGTTCACGGTCTTACTGACGAAAAGTCTCTCTTTGGTTTCAAGTTGTACGATACGAAAACCGCGGCGAGTCATCAAGTTCATCCTCTGGAATCCATATTCCCATTCCTTCATCGAGCAAACTATCTTCGGGGTGATTCAGACGATTCTTTCTCGCTTCTCAATCGGCGAATCCTCCGCATTACACTCCACGGTAGGACCTTCATTTCCTACCGTTATATTGGTGAAAGCCTGTGTGACCAGGCACTTTGTTCCGTGTGATATAAATTCCACTCCTGGACAGCAACGATTTCGAGATCTAGTTAATGCAGTGCGAGGAAGCATTTAAAACGACGCATCTGACGACCTGTTGGCCGGAAGCCGGCATAAAATCTCAAGTGGCAACGAGAACACTGGTGAGGTGCATGGTGTAATGGCTCATGCTTCTCAGCGGAAGTTGGCCCTTAAGGCGCAAGTTATCAAGTATATGCCAAGCCGTCAAATGCTCGTGGACGCCAACGGCTGTGGCCAGTCCATAGCGCGGAGGACCGGGGCAACTTTTATGCCAGTGCTTTAAGTTGCATGTACCCATAAAATCTGTTACCGTTGTTTTGAAAACGGATGTTTTCCATGGACGAATAAATCCCAGAGAGGGAGCGAGATGGCTCAATTGTTAGAGCGCGAAATTACGTGTGTGAAGGCCCATGCTTCGAACCCGACCTCTGCATTCCGACTTCCCTGCGTTCAGTCCGGGGCAACCTGGCAGTATCCCAGCCCTCGTGCTTCCTTCTGGTGGCATGGCAGCTAGGAACTGGAAGGGTGTTACAGCTGAACTCAGAAACCAGGACTGTACAGCTAAAAGGACGGGTGGGTGAAATTAGGTCATATGGTGGTCAGGATAAATTTCACTCTAGTAAACTGTTTATTCTTACTCATTAATGTACGGGGTTTACCGTCCGGTGGTTCAAAGCTGGTTTGCGTTGAATTTAGTTGATGTAAGAGCAATTTGACAGTCGAAAAACACTTGGAAGTCACTGTTTCCGGAATGATCTGGAAATCGATCGATTGTGTCCCAAAGGCTATTCAACAGCTTGTTGAAACTCTGGTTTGCCTGGTGCTCAGTGACAATCATCTGACCACTGATTAATAGTCAGAAAATTGAGCTGAAAACCCATCTATCATCGCAGAGAACTTTACAGTCACTAGACCACCTTGGACTGAATGTTCCATTAGTGCAATGAAATCCATAACAGCTCCCCCTAAAGGAGTCTGTCGACCTCATCAGTTTAGCGTGGAGGAAGCTGCTGACCAAACTCACACGTCTGATCCTTCTACACCACCTGGACATCGTGTGTTTGAACTTTTCGAGATCCCATCGCACTTTTAACTATTTTCTAGTTGCTTCAAGGATTAGACATTCAGTATATGACAGAACTGCTCCATCACCAAACACAGTTTGCCAGGTAAATGAGTGGAAGCATACAATCAAAAACTCTCCGTACGGTCCGTGTGCTTAACGTTTCAGCACATCGATTCAGAAGCAAAAGTCCTCTTCCATTTCTTTTATATCCGGTTGCAAAAGGCCAAATTAAACTAGACCAAGTCGGGCGAATAAAAAATACCAAACCGTGACCGGAGTATGGGCCGAAAATTTTGTGCCCATTAGGATTCCGAGGTCCGAGTAGGCCAAATTACACTAGACCAAGTCGGGCGAATAAAAAAATACCAAACCGTGACCGGAGTGTGGGCCGAAAATCTTGTGCCCATTAGGATTCCGAGGTCCGAGTCCCGTTTACTTCATGTGCTGTCGCATGCGTACTCTACCTGTGTTCCATACAACACACGATTTGTTTTGCCCGTGAAATGTACGCTTGAAAGTCAATTGGCGAGATACGTTTTAGATATGGTGTTTTATTTCCGTTTTTGGTGTACATAGGACATTTCGACTGTACCAACCTTTGTGTTACCGGAAATAAGCGGTCGGACGCGCGACGAGGACGTCGATTAGATGCTCATTTCAAGAAGGCAACATACATCGACACACACCGATTATCGGGTGGGATTTGGCCAGGTTTCCAAACCACCAACTAGAGTCCATCATGCTCTATGAGTTAAGGCTTCCGTTCAAATGGCTGACCACAAAGCCGCGGATTCAAACATGACATGTGTCTTAATTTTAAGGTAAGGCAATCGTACGCGTTCCACAAATCAACCTGTGAAATCCAAGGAGCGCCTTCTTCGGATCTGCTTGTGAACGTCATACAGGCTGTCCCTCGCTCAACACATAAATCGTCGCAACGAATTCCCTCACTATAATAGCTCGTGGATTTGTGGTCAACTCAAATTCAGACGGGGCTTGCTGACGCAACACAGTATGTAGCTAACGTAGCACGTTGGTGGCCTACACCGGTAGTTTTCATGGTACCAGCTGCACCAAAAGACTAATGGCTACCACTTGGATGAACCTTGCGCTGACAAAAACTTTGTTTCAGACTCAGAATAAACATTTTTTGGCAATTTTCATAACACTACGGTGAATACACATTACCTCCTCTAGATTTAACAGAAACAGTGACTTAAGAAATGCATCGAATGTAGCCCTTAAATCGGCTCGTAACTTTTAGGAAAACCATAGATCCTTCACATAAGCAAATGGGAACCACCCTGCTTCAATAAAGTAATACCCGACCGATGACATTGAATTTCATTCACGAAGGACACACCAAGATGCTGCATACAATTATCAGTTTGAGATTAAAAGTACAACTCACGACGTCTAACTAAAACATACCCAAGAATTGGAAGATTCTGCTGGACGCGCGCTGTTCGTCTCTCCCAAAGTAAATCAATCTTGTGTATCTCAGAAAAGCAAAACTTCAGGATACAGTGGGCATTAGCACTCGTTAGCTATTGTTGGATACAGCGTAACGTTGAAAACGAAGATGTCAGGCAAAATCAAATCTCGTATGTCAGTGTCTAATACCGTTAAATACCAACTAGCTACTCTATCAGAATCTTCAGGTAGTTGGAAACATCTCGATCAGAGGTAGTGAAAATGTGAAAAACACAAGCAATGCTAGGTGGAATTCATGTTGGAACATGTTGTAAGTGCCAGATGCCCAGATGTAACTAGACAAACTGCTCGTTTTTATGCATCCAGTCAGCTAAATTTCAAAGTAAACCACAGGAAAGTATAAGCAGTCGACTTTGGACTGATAACAGCTAACACTCAACGGGGATTATCAGGATTTCTGAAGCATCCGGCCAAGGACAACTCAGATATTTGGCCCACGATAGTAACATGCCTTTTTCAATTCGCTACAAAAAATCACTAGGGGAAACGTTTATTGATTTTCTGGTACTCTTGCAAATTGCTGGGGACTCCGGAAATTCGCCTGGGTGTGTAAAAACGAGTCGTGAGGAAGATCGCTGTTGGCCATGAATTTTTTTAGAGAATTTCATCTTCTCCAGACTGTAATCGTTTTAAGGGGTCAGCTTTTACCGCCGCCTCTACATTCGGTGAGGATAATAAAACACGATCATCTAGTTTGGAGGAGGCACTCCGTGAACATTTCTCCTAATGACTACTCCCATTAAGCCATAACATTCTGCTCACGCGATACACTAACACCTGGAGTATATAACTGTATGCAGCTGAATTTTCAAACTGCAGGAGACAATTCTGCACTGAATACCCATCCTTCTGTACGCCGACAAGTCAGCAATAAACGCTGGTTCTTAAATGCCACAGCTACGAGGAGACATTGCACTAACAGAGGATGGAAAGGACATGAGAGGGTAAGGATTCACCTCAAAAAACCTGTCTCCTGGTTAAATAGTGAGATAGGTGCCTATCTGTCCCAGCCTCATCTAAATAGATATGACAACCGTGTCCAGTAAGGTAGCAGCAGCGGAATTGACGGCATTCACAAGAATCTCAACTCGGCACACTCACTGAAAAGCGACGCAAAACTCATCAGTGAAATTGGTTAAGCGCTAAATCCTGTAGGACTTCCAGCCGCACACGAGGATACGGACTCAAGCCAGAAAGTAGGGAAGACCCGATAACGTCCAGATTCACAATAGCGGTTCTTATTATATGTCCTTATATCTTGCTGCTATTAGCGGATCATTCTCCCACAACGACTAGTACCGGATAACACCGCTTTGTTTGCAGACGATGTATGGGCATACTGAAGTCGGAAGGCTGACGTTATTGGCCAACCGCACTTCATTGCGTCCCTGCACGCACATCACGCTTCTCCCCGATGTTCACCGTTTGGAAGGAGTATTAACGTCACTCAGACATCTTGCAAACTGATGTACTCCAACCACTCACCTTTGTTCGTCCACTACGTATCAACTCGTTCTCTTGTTCGTTCGACCGAGTGACTGATTTTCATTCACTTAGCTAACATGCATTGCGGGCATTATGCGTGGCAGCTGAGCGTACATGCCGGTATTTCATCAATAACGAAGCCGTGATGGAGAAAGTGCACCGTTTTCTGACATTCGCCATGGTTCCTTTTCGGTCGGATCATCCGAACAGTGAACATCTTCGGCTGAGCAAACTAGCAACGTGTCAGATAGAGGCACTTCTACTTGGTTTGGGGTTGACTCCTTCAGAAGTAGCACCTATTCTCACACACCCTCTAGAGGAGCTTGATTTATTTCCCGGATTTACTGACGGACGGATGCCCGAACGACTGAAAAAATACATCACGACATTTCACACCTAATGCTACCATCAAAACAGGTAGCGTCATGTCTGATTACCACCTCGGACATCACTTCATACATTGGAGATGGACCGAAACTCCATTTACAGGCCTGTTTCATTGTCAGTTTACTGATTTAGGTCAACTGGGTTTCTATTTTTGCTACACACCCATTAGTTCACATACTATTCTGTTCGAACTTAGTTCTAAGATATCTCCATCCAAATCCTACCCGGTGCATAAACCCTGGCTTTGAGGTTCGACTATTGGAAACAATTGTTCCATCGTTGTGAGAAAAATTTGAAACACAGTTGTTTGTCCGGCTGATGCTGCGTACAAGGCATCCGGTGATGCAGCTTTCCAGTTGGATCCCTTAGATATTAGGTTGTCAACAAGTGTCAATTATCCGCCACTAGAGCGCCAAGTTCCAGTTTAAGCTCGAATTTTTTTTACTTCTACGTAGGAAGAAATAATGGAAAACCAAATGTATGGCAGGTACACCAGTTCCCAATCATACTTCCAGAAGAGATCCTTCATACGTTAAACAGAAGTACCGGATGCGATATCCAGTTAACAGTGAGTAGCGGTCAATGAGTGTTGAGAAAGGATCCACACAGGGTAATTTCCACACAAAAGCCTAGCATTCAGTAGAAAATATATGATGGCTTAAGATGGATAGCACGCTTTGTAGATTGTCCTCCGAAGGTATACATGCGCATGACACAGACGATCACCACTGACAATTAGCGTACAAGCAGAACACAAATTCGGCGGAAACTCGAAGATAACTTCTGCCTGTTAAGAGCCAAGAACCAAAAGCATCGGTTGTTGAACTTTCCAGCAACCTGACGATTAGATTACTTCGCGAAAGTACCGCAACATCTCGAATTTCGTACACAGTAAAAAACTTAGCGATCGCTGCGCAGAACGTCTTCATGAGATCCCGCTGGGGTTTAGCTGAGTCTGGTGTTAAGACCAAACTAATACGACGGTGAGGGCATTTGGCGAAGTTGGTACAATTTGGGCTCAAGAGGAATGAAACTTCGACGGAAACTCATAGACCGGGCCTACCTGATGAGTCCCGAGAGGAACGAAACTGATCCCGGGCTGCAAACTCAGTAAACTAGTGAGTTGTGCTCCCCCAAAACATATTGCAATATGACGCAACTTAAACTTAAAGCATGGTTTGAGTACCCCATTCTGCTAAACAATATTATAAGCGAGAGGCTCGGCTGCGATTCAGTTGAGTCAAGCCTTAAAACTAAATTAGTGTTTAAGTAGGTGCATTTCGCGAAGTTCAGTAACCTTATGCGCAGTGCATCTTCGAGGAAGCATACTACAACCTCTCGAATATCGTACCCACTGAAACACGAAGTAATCTTGGAGCAGTACATTCAGTTGGATGATAACACAGTATAGAGATGCTGATGGGATACAGTTCAGTCTCAGGCTAAGACAATAATGGTGCGAGAAAGTGTGCATTTAGAGAATTTTCTACAAAGCGGATTCAAGAGGAATAAATAGTTGACGTAAACTCGGGGACTGAGCCTTCCTGATGAGCCCTAAGACGGGAAATATCGCTACTGAGCTTTCAATCGATTTCAGCAAAATCATGAGTAGCATTCCTTCAAGAAATATGCGACATATTGAAAATGGTACCAAGGGAAACAAGCAGGGGCCTTTACGCAGAGCATATAGTGGGACACGTCGTGAGTCTGATGGTTCCGATGGGCACTTCGTTCTCATCCTTCATGACAGTGGTCACAGACTTGTTTCATGTAAACCCACGACAGTTGGTGATTTGCCACAAGATCTACCAAGTATCATATCCTCAGGGTTTGTGATCTAATGGAACACTGCCTTCAACAGACACACTCGGTGTGTTCGACTGAACGATCCATCTTGAAATTAAGGTGCGATCCGTCCTCGTTCAGTCGGACAGCACTCAGAACCAAAGAAATGTTGACATTTGACCTGTTACTGATGAATTATGACCGCAGGGACGGAAAATAAGACACTTGAAGAACTTCACAATACCGTGCACTTCAACCCACAAAGCTGACCTTGCTGATGTGGCGTAAACACTGATAGCTCACGATATAAGTAATCAAGCCAGGGATGCGGCTAACCGCTCAACGATTGCTCCTAGTATTCACGACACCTTCTATGATAGTATTCATAACCCAGGCTGGTTCTCTTTCGAAAAGTTCCTATGCTTACGTAATGGACGAAATGAGCAAGGATAATCGGTAGGCCAATTTGGACCAGGCGTGACCCACCTGAGACTGCAACGTTAGCATGATGTTCGGTGAACAGGTTAATATTAGAATAATTACGGAACACAGTAACAGATCCCCACCCCAGTAATACGTGCATTTTGGATACAGTGGTCCCTCAATCGTCACATGTTGCGCTCTGACCCCAATCTCCAGCGAACGACTAGACTCCGCGATAAATGACCCCTCATTCTAAAATATTTTTTACGGTTTTTACATGATCGGACGCGGAGAAAAGCAAACATGCCGGGAAGACCCTTTTCCAGAATTCTTAAAAATACCAACTATATGCATAGGGAAAGTAATACTTATTAAAAGCAGTACTTGTGGGAAAGGATGTGTGAACTGACTGAAGAGGATAATGGTAGATCAGCTGTGCGGTACGGTACGATGGTGACGTTGATCGGCGCTACACAGTATCTGAATCTTTTCACACGACACTATCTCATCAGCTGCGGCATCACCAACTTCCCAACGTTTTCTAAAAAGTACTGGAACACGAGTAATCAAGCGGCATGCCAAACACACAAGACTACGCCATTAAAGTGAGAACCCCGGTAACGATAGTTTCAAATTACCAAGGGACATCCCGTCAGGAAAAAAAGCTGAATCCCGACGTCAACTAGATGAAGAGTTTGGATGCCTCTAAAAATAGCAAATAACCCTTAACACAGTAAGGTGCTGTGGTAATTACACCTGTTCACGCCTCGAACGAATCCTGAGAGTGATGCGCGCTGGTGCCCTCAGAATTTGATCGTGCGCTTCTGACCTATCATGTTTTGGACTGCGATACACCCGAGCACCCGGCGCCACGAGCAGACAAAGTGCTTTTTATAAATCACCCGGTTTCAACAGTTGGCACAAGCTCCCTTACTTGCTTTACTACAGTGGACTAAAGGACAGTCGTAACCGACTTGAAACCTTATTGATATTGAGCTCGAATTTCAACAATGGTTATCATGTCACTAAGAATAACCATCACTCGCTCAATACGACTCTCACTCAATGCTTCCATGAGCGCCATTTACAACACAACTACCTGCCAATTTAGCGAACAGCTTATAACTGTCCCATGTACGATATTCTGGTTACAGCTGGAGTCCAAACGCTCGTTAGGAAACTCGATCCGTTTATCTTTCGGAGTGGCCGAACTCCACGGCGAAAGGCGGAGCTTAGAAGAAGTTCTGATGTTGTTGATGCCGTCGGATTTTTTCGAATGAAACTATGATTGCTGTCCCTGTGCTTGGTTATAGCATCCTCTGAGTGAATTGTGGACGTTTCAGAACGATTATGGGTCCTTGCCTGTCTAACCTCCCATTTTTTTGCTTTCTCTAGAGGCTTAAAAGTTTTGGACCACTCAGTTGTCAGTTTCAAAATTGATTTCGCTGTCGCTAGCGTTACAAAATCATGAAAAAACGGACAACTCCTATCAGATGCTCATTCAGCCCAGGACATTTCAAGCGGTCCACAGAAACCTGACGAATTGCCATTCACACTGTCTTCGTCCGTCGGCATTGACGGAAGTTGTCGGCATCACTGAGGTGTTTCGGTGAATGAAACAACTTCCAAATCATGCACAATACCCAAAATACATTTAAAAAATGAGCCACAATGCCCTCTAGACGTCTAAAATAGTAATGCAGAAAAATAAGTAACACCAAAGTGTACGGGTAAACATAATGAAAAACAAACTGAAAACTAAGTAAATCCATACAAATTCCATCCAGATTCGATTGAAAGATGTTCGCCGAAAGACATATACATACCGAAAATATGGTAGTTTATACAGCCGTCCAAAACACAGAGCAACATGTTGTGCAAGAAATGATCAAGGACAGAAAATATGAACGACTTCGCTAAACTATTCCAACCAGATCACAGCAACCTAGGAACCAGTCCTATCAATAGGAATCAAAATGCCCGTAATGCACGAGACAGCCTAGTAGTTTGGGTGCGAACATACTGACCGCAAGTTCCATGGCTCGAACTCAACCCTGGCATCTCAACCGCTCCTATCTATGCTTGAGCACCCTAATTGTATCCACCTCTCGTGTTTCCTCCGGGTGGAATGGTAGCTAGGCTTCGCGAGGACGTTACAGCTGGACAACTTTTAATGCTTTTACTCAAGCGAATCTTTTCTATTTGGTGAGAACATCTTTCATTAACGAGAAAACCTCCTTCCAGGAAATGGTCGCGTCAAACAAATTTTAGTTCGCACTGAATAGTTGGGCGCTACATGCATTATAGTCATATGCGTGGTTTTCGTGTCATCACTGGTCAATGCATTATGAACCTGGAATGAATTACGACGTTCAACACAGCTTCATGGTTAGGCACGCGCCGAGGGAGGCAATTAAAGACTTAGTTGTCTGCCATCAAATCGGACGTCCACTAGCTAGGTCTCTAGACTGTGTACGTCTAACGGTAGAAACGAGGTGCCCCAAATAGATACGTGGCGTGTAACATTGAGAGCCTTGTGCTCCTTGTGTCAGAGTAAAATATGTTTGGTATATTGCGTGAATTCTCCCAATACACAAACAAATCTGAATGCGTGAACCATTGAGTTGGTAACCTTGTATCCAGTGGTACGGCCTTGTTGGACTTCGCTGTGACCTTTCAGCTTGAAGTTTTGAAGTGAACTGAAGCCGTTGATATGCAAAAGAAAAAACGGGAAGCTGAGGCAAACTACTCGATTGTGCAAAAACCCGAGTTCCATAGCAAGGGAAGCTTGCACCCAATGTTTACCAAACTTATTGTTCCCTTCACGTTGGGATTAAAATAAAGGAGACTCATGTTTCCAAGGGCCAGCTATCGAGAACTGTCTGAGGGACACAATACAAAGAAAAATGGAACTCATCTATTCTACGGATGGATTTGACCATGCAGAGGAATTGCCCGAATTTCACCTACGTTGTTCAGGGCTTTTTGGATCAGCAGAAAACTAGCAATCCGAGTCAACCCCATTGAGCTCAAACCGGATCTTACACACACGCGCACATATCTCTGAGCACAGCAGCGAGTAACAGTTAGGACACGTCATGACTATTAAACCATTAACTCAATTCTCACTCTATATTTTCAGCTCAGGCACTACGGTTATTAGACGACTAAAACGCCCATTACGCCCTTCTATTCTATCATTCTGCTAAACTCGACCTGGAACTACTTGACTCTCGCAACAATTTATTCGTCTATTAAAAAATAGATATTATCCAACCCACTGTTTTTGATGCTGATCCTCACTCGGCAGATGGCACGCAACGATGGACTCATTGGTTCCATACGTTTAAGGCTTACAAGCCTGATGGTTCAAATAAATTGGAAACTCTTATATGCCACACTGATCATAGTGTATGACTTCGTTGCAGAATGTAGCGACTACGACTCTGCGATAGCCTTGCCGGAAAAACCTTATATTCGCCCGAAAAATATCGTCTATACACGCCAACTTTTAGCTACATACAAACAGGAACTTCGCCAAGATGTTTACCAGTTCGTTCAAAAACTGAAGCCACTGTAAATTCAAAGCAGTATCTGCTGTGGAACATAAAAATAAGTCGTTCAGCTCTAACACCCTTCCGGTGACTAGTTGTCATGCCACCAGAGGGAAGCACAAGGGCTGGGATACTGCCTGGTTGCCCAAGCCTTGACAGGGGAAGTCGAGATGCAGAGGTCTGGTTCGAACCACGGACCTTCTGGTTAGTAAATTCGTGTTCTAACCACTTGGGCCATCTCGCTGTGGAACATAAAGATAGAACATTCCGGGATGCCTTAATAGCCGTACTTCAGTAGAACACCACTCGGGAGAAACTGCTAACGTAGCATGAATCGGACCTTAACGTGGTCCACGAAGCCGCACGAGCTCTCGGACTTGTGCATAAACAGTCACAATCATACGTACACAGACAACCGGTTCCTTGTTCTGTGTCTACTCCTTCGTCCATTGTTAAACCCGGAACAACAGTTCCTGCCTGTACATAACAAGCATGTTACTTTTGCGGAAATCCCAAGCACCTTCATTATAAATTTCCCGCTAAAATATCAGTGTGCAGAAGTTCTGGGGAAAATTTGGCATTTCCAATTCGTATCTAGGTCCGAAACCTGGAAATATCACGTGGGTTCAGCTCAGGACTCCTCAATCTCTTCGCTATGCAGTGCCGCTGCTCTCGATCGCCCATCTAGAAGTACAACAGATATTTTGGTCAACGACGTCGCTATCCGAGCTCTTATTAATACGAGCAGCTCCAAAAGTTACATTTCTTCATCAATCCTACAAACCTATAACTGGAAAATATTTCCATACGATTGTGTGATAATGGCGTCGACGACACATGCATGTTCTACCAAAGTTTATTGCCTTGTGTCCATTCATTACAAGGATGCTACATACGAACGGTTCGAACTTTGTGTATCACCGAACCTCTGTGCAGGCATTCTTGTGGGATATGACTTCTTGGGCTTACATGATAAAGTTGAAGTTCCATTTGGTGGCCAACCGGGCACCCTAACTGTATGTGGCGTAACATACGCGAAAGTGAAATCTCCATCCTTTTTCACTAACCCTGTTGCGAATTACAAACCGATCGCCACGAAATCTTGTCACACGCCGGAAGACGAACAATCCATACTAACCAAAGTTGCGAATTCAAACCGATCGCCACGAAATCTTGTCACACGCCGGAAGACGAACAATCCATACTAACCAAAGCAGACCGAATATTCACCGATGGCATAATCGAAGGATCGAATTCCCCATGGAGAGCACAAATGCTTGTAGCGCGCAATACGAATCACAAGAGACTTATGGTGATAGACTACAGCCAGACCATACATCGCTTCACCTGTCTTGACGCTTATCCTTTACAAAAACTGGATCAAATAATTGAAACCATCACAAGATATACCTCCTACAGTAAAGTGCATATCATCAGGTTCCAATAATCGAGTCAGATAAACCGTTCACAGCATTCGAAGCCGGCGGCGCATTCCTTTCAGAGTGACACACGGGGTCGCGTGTTTCCAACGAATGTTAAGCAATATCATCAAAGCAGGACGGGTGGATGACATATTTGCCCACATTGGAAACGTTACTGTATGCTGCTGCTGATGATGCGGTAAAACGAGAGATATACATGACCGTAACCTTAGGCATTCTCTGGATGTCGCCTTGAACGACACAAAAAGCAGCCTCGAGACTGACAAAATTACTCCCTTGCGCTCCAGGGTCTCCTGGAACGTGGGCGCCCTATAAGAGAACTCCCAACTCTACACAACGGAAAATCGTATCAAAGAGTCGTTGGTCTGTCCGCCTGCTATATCGGCGTCTTCTGAAAAAATTCACCCATTGGTTAAAAACAAGAGATTTTTCCCTCTAGAAAATGTCCGAACAGCGGTTGAGAACCTTGAGCACGAATTAAAGAATGCGATGGTCGTCACTGTCTATAATATCCCTCTCGTCACCGACATTGGTGCGTCTGACATCGCTACTGGTGCATCCCTGAACCAGGGTAACCGTTCGATCGCCTTTTTCTTCAGGACCGTGACTGCAGGCGATAAAAACCACTCTGTTGTCGTAAAAATAAGCATATGCTATCGTCGAAGCGATCCGAAAATAGCGCCACTATCTCCTCGGTAGACATTCGAAACTGACTACGGATCAACATTCAGTCGCTTTTATGCAGGGAACCAACAAAAGAGTAAAAGTAAAAAATGACAAGATTGAACGGTGGAAAACCCAATTGGCAGAGTACAACTGCGACGTCGGCCATAGACCACATCGCTTTAATATTAATCGCGTTGCTGCTGGGACGGAAAAACTTGAAGAGCTTCACATATTATGCCATCCAGGGATCACGAAATCCGTACATTTTGATTGCTTAAAGAACCTTCCTTTTTCGGTCAGCGCTATCCGAAATGTGGTGTCTAACTGTTCCACATGCTCCAAACTAAGACCAAAATTCTGTGACACTTTTGTTGTCAGCTTATCGGAGCCACACAACCTTTTGAACGGATTAGTATCGGTTTTAAAGGCCCACTTCCCTTTTGCCTATCCTTGCACCACTGTGATCCTCTGTTTGAGTCAACTGTTTTTAATGTTTGTTAAGCCTGCTTATATTCACTCAGATCTCGGTACGGCGTTCATGTCAAATGAACTCAAACAATTTTCGCTCGATAAAGGCGTTGCCACTAGTCACACCGTTGCATATAATCCACAATGTAATGGTCAGGTTGAATGACTTAATGGTACCCTTTGGAAGACAATCTCCCTGGCTACAAAATCAAGCGGCTTGTCTGCCACACATTGGGATGTTGTCCTTTTTGATACTTTCCACCGTATCAGGTCTCTCTTATGTATTAGTAGCAACTGTGCCCCACATGAACGTTTCCTGTCGTTCACATGACGATCAGCCAGCTCACTGTTCCTGGGTTGATCCTTTTAAAGCGAAGTTATCGAGTCTCTAAATATGGCCCTATGTTAGGGGAAGTAGAACTTGTTTCTTGTAATCCGCATAGTACATCCAGATGGCAAACAGGAAACTATGTCTTTACGCCGCTTCGGTCCTAAAGGAAACGACGGAACTGGAACAAGCGTACATCGCCGAACAAGAGCTTCACGCAACACTATGAGCCCATCGTGATTGCTCAGGAACTGAACTCTTGCCTTATACATCGCCGAACAAGAGCTTCACGCAGCACTATGAGCCCATCGTGATTGCTTATGAACTGAACTCTTGCCTATTAATGATGCCGCATTACTATTGTTCTCCTTCTAATCTTGACCTGGAACTAGTCGACTCTGACAACAAGACCACGCGCTGGAAGCGATTTCACAACTCATAGAAAGTGATGTATTGCAGATTTTTGGACAAAAAAGCTGCCTGATAGGCACAGTTTTATTTACACGTTCGAAGCACCAGTATAAAAGTTCTGTATGGAGATAACATGGACTCGTTTGTGGCTCTTCAATTGAGTTCAGAGATTTGGATTCCTGAAAGCCTCCGCCTGCTTTTTAATCCGTGCGTCATATTCCTTTCGGTTCTGTATGAATAAAGTATACGCGTCCGCTTGCGCTGGGTCCTTCGGGTTGGGAGAGTCGAGCAAATCTTGAATTCCTAACAATATCTAAATTTCATTAATTAATGAAATTTTTTAATTCATTGCATAGGTACTCTTACTTGTTTTATAGTAACCGCAGGGCGCCAGTGTTTTTCCTCATCCAGAAGAGACAAGCAAACAGTTCCTGACGGGAATACGTTTGGGTGGAAAAGCGGCGGTTCAAATTTGCACTTGGGCGGAGTAGTTGGGTACTCCGGCTTGAAGTACATTCTTAGGTTGAAAAGACCCCCCTCCCAGAGCGTCTGATAACGTGATGGGTGAGCGACAGCGAAGAATAATACACTTACCCCTTTCTTCCCGGGAATGCTACACGTCCAAGTCATCAAATCCAGTGAGCCATCAGGATTCTTATCCGGTTTAGCGACGAAACCCTGTTCCGGTCACATTTGGGAAAATTCACTTACAAAAGGGTGGTCTTTCCTCCAGGCTTTGCGTTCTTCTGCTAAGCGCTTCAACGAAATACTATCAGCTTCTGCAAACTCCCCCATTTCAAGAAACCTAGACAAGGGCGATCAGCGTTGGGTACGACAAGAGCACTGTCAGGTAAGTAAATACTGCACGTTCATTGGTCAAGGAATCCCAGTGTATCCAGCGGGGCGAGGCGCACGGTTAAGATAAGCATTTGTTATTTAATGCTGTCAGACCGCGTCTACGGATAAGGGGGCTAACGAGCAGTGTATAAAAGGGCTGCAATGCAGATAAACGATAAAAAGGTCCCTGGCCGTGCACGGGGGCTAGAGAAGGATACACATCTTTTCAAAGCGCTTTCCGTGGAACTTGTCCGCATTTGGCATTTATTTGTTTGCTTTGTTGTTGATTAACCTTCTTTTTCCCCTTCCGCCCAATCTCAGCTCTATCCAGCAGAATAGCAAAGTAGTGTGACTCAAAACTGAGGCCCATCCCTTCCTCATTGGCCAGTAAGAACCTGTCTGTGCATAGGATGGGAAAAGGAAGAGCCATTGTCGGGTCCAAACCCAGCTCCATTGCCTTGTTCCATTTTCGCACAAGCAACAATCTTTCTAGGACATATTCAGTTGCTGCATTTACTCGCCATTCCTCACGTAATTAGGCAGTGTCGTCGCACAGGCTCGCCGTTATCGATCCCAAATTCCTTATTTCATAATACGAAATTAGTCCCAAAATTACTTCCCTTCAGGCCTCCAATGCTCGTAGCTAGAAGCTCACGAAAATCAACAGTTCAGCCGTCACCATAATAATTTGCAACCATTCAATAATTTACCGCGGGAACACACTCCTCGAATAGGGCTTGTAGTTTTTCGTATTCAAACAAAAACGTTTATTCAATTGACAAAACACGTATTGTTATAATGGAAGCAAAATAAACATGCATAAAAACACACTACTACCCTCGCTGGAGCGTTGAATGTGAAAGCGAAAAACGCTCAAATAATGAAATGGTGAATCAAAGGAGGCTTACTTCAGGTTTCGTAATCAGTTGAGTGTTGAGGGAAAAGGGCACGCGGTCCGGAACGACCAGTGGAAGGAGCAGGTTTTTTAGAGATAGGGTCTTCAGGAATTGATGCGGGTGCTGGTGGAATGGCAGGATTACTGAACGTTGCCACGTACGTTTGGGCAATGCAGGCTTCAGATGATCAATGAAGACTGTATCATGCTTTACGGTTTTCTCTAAAACGAAGCGTTTGAAGGGATGTTCGGTGGACGTGAAGGGGCCACCATTACAGGATTGAAATTGTTGCTTTGTTCAGTCATGTTGGACAAATACAAATGGTCTAGAAGACTGATCTGCTGAGATGTGCTGTCTTTGTTTTGATCGTCTTTTCGGCGTCGCTCGAATTTCAGCTATATGCTGCCTGAGACGGGTGACGAATGTGACGGGTGAGTTGGGCTCTGTGCCTGAAAGAGAATACAGTTCACCAGGTAAACGTAAAGTTGTACCGTATATTAGTCCGGTTGGTGAACAGCAAACGTCCTCCTTAATAGTGAAACGAATGACAAAAAATGAGGGATAAATTAGGAGAACATGAAAATGGGTTCTTTCGGGCAGTCAGTACAGCTTTGAATTGGCAATGGAAGCGTTCACCAGACCGTTGGAATAGGGGCGATGCGCGGTTATAGAAATGTGATGAAAACCTAATAGTGCCGAAAACTCACGGGAGAGGGGACCCTGGAATCGTGAACCGTGTCCCGTGGTAACGAGGGAAGCTATGCCAAAGTTACTCACCGAATGCTGCAAAAACGAAAAGTCTGCCGTTAGAGCTGATGTATCCGAAACGTGTACGTATATTGCCCAACGGGTAAAACTATCAGTGATGGTAAAATATTGAGTAAAACTCTCTGATGGGGAAAGGTAGACCGACGATATCAAGATGAAGTTGTGTGAATCGAGCATCAAAACTGCAAATGATCCGAGAGGTGATTTCGTATGCCGAGTTACTTTACCGCGCTAACAGCCGATTCACTGTTTGGACCAGGCTGTAAACTCTTATTCATATGGGGTTGGACTGATTAACTTCCTTGTTGCCATGATTCCTGGATGGGAGAGCTCAGGAAATTTATCGAAAACAACTACTCCGAAAGCTTGGAGAAAGATTGAGAGAATTGTGCCGGTAGAAATATCACGAAGAGGGGTTCCCGACAGGAGGGTAAAGGAATTGAAGAAACTTGAAATGCAGGAAAGGATAGTGTGGACGTTAACTTAAGATTACAGTGCGCAAGGTTCGCAAGCTCGGCAATGTTTAGCTGCGTGGAATTGTGGGACCAGTTGGTGTCTGGGTGGTAAAGGGTGTCTGCAACGATATCGTTGTCACATTTGGGAAAATTCACTTACAAAAGGGTGGTCTTTTCTCCAGGCTTTGCGTTCTTCTGCTAAGCGCTTCAACGAAATACTATCAGCTTCTGCAAACTCCCCCATTTCAAGAAACCTAGACAAGGGCGATCAGCGTTGGGTACGACAAGAGCACTGTCAGGTAAGTAAATACTGCACGTTCATTGGTCAAGGAATCCCAGTGTATCCAGCGGGGCGAGGCGCACGGTTAAGATAAGCATTTGTTATTTAATGCTGTCAGACCGCGTCTACGGATAAGGGGGCTAACGAGCAGTGTATAAAAGGGCTGCAATGCAGATAAACGATAAAAAGGTCCCTGGCCGTGCACGGGGGCTAGAGAAGGATACACATCTTTTCAAAGCGCTTTCCGTGGAACTTGTCCGCATTTGGCATTTATTTGTTTGCTTTGTTGTTGATTAACCTTCTTTTTCCCCTTCCGCCCAATCTCAGCTCTATCCAGCAGAATAGCAAAGTAGTGTGACTCAAAACTGAGGCCCATCCCTTCCTCATTGGCCAGTAAGAACCTGTCTGTGCATAGGATGGGAAAAGGAAGAGCCATTGTCGGGTCCAAACCCAGCTCCATTGCCTTGTTCCATTTTCGCACAAGCAACAATCTTTCTAGGACATATTCAGTTGCTGCATTTACTCGCCATTCCTCACGTAATTAGGCAGTGTCGTCGCACAGGCTCGCCGTTATCGATCCCAAATTCCTTATTTCATAATACGAAATTAGTCCCAAAATTACTTCCCTTCAGGCCTCCAATGCTCGTAGCTAGAAGCTCACGAAAATCAACAGTTCAGCCGTCACCATAATAATTTGCAACCATTCAATAATTTACCGCGGGAACACACTCCTCGAATAGGGCTTGTAGTTTTTCGTATTCAAACAAAAACGTTTATTCAATTGACAAAACACGTATTGTTATAATGGAAGCAAAATAAACATGCATAAAAACACACTACTACCCTCGCTGGAGCGTTGAATGTGAAATGAAATGGTGAATGAAATGGTGAATCAAAGGAGGCTTACCTCAGGTTTCGTAATCAGTTGAGTGTTGAGGGGCGAAAAACGCTCAAATAATGAAATGGTGAATCAAAGGAGGCTTACTTCAGGTTTCGTAATCAGTTGAGTGTTGAGGGAAAAGGGCACGCGGTCCGGAACGACCAGTGGAAGGAGCAGGTTTTTTAGAGATAGGGTCTTCAGGAATTGATGCGGGTGCTGGTGGAATGGCAGGATTACTGAACGTTGCCACGTACGTTTGGGCAATGCAGGCTTCAGATGATCAATGAAGACTGTATCATGCTTTACGGTTTTCTCTAAAACGAAGCGTTTGAAGGGATGTTCGGTGGACGTGAAGGGGCCACCATTACAGGATTGAAATTGTTGCTTTGTTCAGTCATGTTGGACAAATACAAATGGTCTAGAAGACTGATCTGCTGAGATGTGCTGTCTTTGTTTTGATCGTCTTTTCGGCGTCGCTCGAATTTCAGCTATATGCTGCCTGAGACGGGTGACGAATGTGACGGGTGAGTTGGGCTCTGTGCCTGAAAGAGAATACAGTTCACCAGGTAAACGTAAAGTTGTACCGTATATTAGTCCGGTTGGTGAACAGCAAACGTCCTCCTTAATAGTGAAACGAATGACAAAAAATGAGGGATAAATTAGGAGAACATGAAAATGGGTTCTTTCGGGCAGTCAGTACAGCTTTGAATTGGCAATGGAAGCGTTCACCAGACCGTTGGAATAGGGGCGATGCGCGGTTATAGAAATGTGATGAAAACCTAATAGTGCCGAAAACTCACGGGAGAGGGGACCCTGGAATCGTGAACCGTGTCCCGTGGTAACGAGGGAAGCTATGCCAAAGTTACTCACCGAATGCTGCAAAAACGAAAAGTCTGCCGTTAGAGCTGATGTATCCGAAACGTGTACGTATATTGCCCAACGGGTAAAACTATCAGTGATGGTAAAATATTGAGTAAAACTCTCTGATGGGGAAAGGTAGACCGACGATATCAAGATGAAGTTGTGTGAATCGAGCATCAAAACTGCAAATGATCCGAGAGGTGATTTCGTATGCCGAGTTACTTTACCGCGCTAACAGCCGATTCACTGTTTGGACCAGGCTGTTAAACTCTTATTCATATGGGGTTGCACTGATTAACTTCCTTGTTGCCATGATTCCTGGATGGGAGAGCTCAGGAAATTTATCGAAAACAACTACTCCGAAAGCTTGGAGAAAGATTGAGAGAATTGTGCCGGTAGAAATATCACGAAGAGGGGTTCCCGACAGGAGGGTAAAGGAATTGAAGAAACTTGAAATGCAGGAAAGGATAGTGTGGACGTTAACTTAAGATTACAGTGCGCAAGGTTCGCAAGCTCGGCAATGTTTAGCTGCGTGGAATTGTGGGACCAGTTGGTGTCTGGGTGGTAAAGGGTGTCTGCAACGATATCGTTCGATCCTGGAGTGTACCGAACGTTAGTAATGAATTGGGAAATATGGTCCAGATGGCCCATCTCGCGTGGTGAATGGCGGTTGGGTTTGGCTTTGAAAGCATATGTAAGTGAATTATGATCAGTTTGAGTGGTAAATGGTCTACCTTATAACAATTGCCGGCAAACAACGAGTTAACTCTCGGGTAAATCATGAACAAAAGTAGTGTATTGCGTTTGGACAGACTGCATCTTCTGCACAAAAATGCTAACGGTCGAAATGCGTCATTGCCAGCATGATAGAGTACAGCACCGACGGCAACATTCGAAGTATCATTTGGCAAAATAATCTTTGTGTTTTCTTGGGTATCGAAAAGGGGTGATTTTGTGGCGTGAGCGTCGTTTGCTCATCTCTCTTGAAAGCGGAAATGGTGACAAGGGGCAAGGTAACGGACCTTTCTTTAGTGAAAAGTAAATCGGTCAGTGACTGCAAATTATCCATATAACTAGGGATGAACCGCCAGTAATATTTGCTGATACAAATAAAACGACGAAGTTGGATGATAATGCTAGGCATGAATAAAGATTATAAGGCAAAAATGCTATTCGATAATCGTTAAATACCGGCTGGATCAATCTGATGCCCAAAAAATCTAGGTTGATAACATGAAACACGCATTTTCAATGTTTGGACGTATGTTTAATGTAGAAAGACGTTGACATACTGTCCTGAGATGATCTGCGTGCCCACTTTGGGAGCTGTCAGTAATTAGAACAGCGTCTAGATACGCGTAAGCAAGAAGCAAACCACGTAAACCTTCGTCCATAATATAACTCACAAGTTATATGCATGAATAAATAGTGAGCCTTACGTGCCAAGCGACCGACGTTTCGCCACGCCCATTTCTCCAGTACGATAGGAGCCTACAACTTCATTTGCATCAACACGCAACACCAATGACACTGCTGTCCACCTTTTATTATCTTTGCACCACATCATTCATCCTTCGCTGACCACTGGCCGCATCAGCAATGCGCTAACAAGTTTTTTGTGGTCTACATAGCGTTTCAAATCCCGACGTGCACTTGTCCCTCGCAACCTTTATCCAACCTCTTGTGGGGTATAATGTGAATAAAGACACTGTCACGGGCAAAAACTTGTCTGCAATATGAATGTTCAAGGATACCTCGCCATACACACTCACACATCGGTACTTTTCCCACTCAAGACTACCGATTCAATCATGCTCACCTCGACGTCGTCAGAGTTCTTCCATGTCTGTCCCGCTTTTTCTCCATAAAGGTATATTTCCCTGTTCCCTCAACCAGCTTTACATAATTTGTCTAGTAGGTCCGCGTTCACTAGGTCACGCCACTCGCCAGCTCCGCAAACACAAAACTGACGTGACAAACCCTGTTCCCCTCGCAAGCTTGGCAGATAACAAATCAGTTCCTGTGTTATCCGCATCGGAATGATTCTGTCTTATGTACACGTTAAACCTTCCTATATATAAGAAAACACAACACAGTCAGTACCCATACTTGTGCGCGCAGGGAGTGGGGAGTAAGCCATGAACGATTTTGAAACACATGTAGCAGCTATGCTGCAGAGGATAAACGCGTTCCTGCATTCTTGACTTTCACTTCTTATTGACACGATTGATACTGAGATTAGTCAACGCATCGAATGCCGGCATCAAGTATTAATATTCAATGCATCTGATCGAATCCCACTTGTGCATGCCAAAACTGCCATCCTGAATGCATGTGGCATGCAGGAAACCATATGAAAAGCTCGGTGGCTCCGGAAGTCGAAACCACCCATGTGCTGCCCGATAATAATGCGATTCCGGGATGAAAAAGATGCCGCGCGTCTGCCCACAGCCCGGACTCTTCTCTCATCTACCAAAAATTCCATACCTTGAAACTTAAAGCTGCTCCTACAAGAACGCAAAGACAGCTTACCAAAAAGTCGCCGGAACTTGTTGCATCGTCACCCACCAGTAATTGCGCTGACGAGTGCCACAATGCCACACAAAGCTGTCTGTTGAACCCAGGTCCTGTACCCCACACTCATGACCATGGGCCCTCCACTCCTATCTCTGGGCATCCACAAATGTTATCTCTGACCTGCACTACGCCAACGAGATCGACTGCTGATTTAAGAGATACGGTAACTAATCAGCCCACACATGAGGCTGTGGTGGAGAATGA